CAGGTTGAACAAAATGTTTCAGATGGGTCAAAACCATGGAAAAGGCCAGGCAGGGAGAAATGAGAGTTGATACATAGCGGCCTGGGTTTATGAGAGAAGTTTTGGGACTGGGAGTGTGCACTGAGGGTTCATTGGGCAATAGGGAACCATTGAAAGTATATGAACCAGAAGTGGAAATATTGAAGTAGGAAGAGACAAAATAAGAAGGAAGGTCTGGTTAGGAGCCTGTTGCCTCAGATGCACTTAACTTATCTGGACCTAGTTGCCTAACCTGTAAAACAGGGATAGAATAACACATGGCCTGCCTGAAAGTGGACATTTACTGGTTGCATCTGCAACCTCTCCCAGCCCGATACCTACACTTCTTCATATGTTTGGGAGGTGTCAGTGATCCTCAGGCCTGCAGTTCAGGTAAGCATATCAGTGGAGCACCTGAACTTGTGTATATTCTGTATTTCTTTTTCTCTTTTTGTTTGGAGATAGGGTCTTGCTTTGTCACCCAAGCTGGAGTGCGGTAGTGTGATCACAGTTCACTGCAGCCTCAACCTCCTGGGCTCATGCAATCCTCTAGCAGTCTTCCCTCCTTGGCCTCCTGAGCATCTAGGACTACAGGGGCATGCCACCACACCTGGCTAATTTTTAAATTTTTTGTAGAGACAGGGTCTCGCCATTTTTCATAGCCTGGTCTTGACCTCCTGGGCTCAAGCAGCCCTCCCACCTCAGCCTCCCAAACTGCTGGGATTACAGGCGTCAGCCACCATGCCTGCCTGTATTTTTTTCTGATTTTTAAGTTATCAATATTTTTTATAGAAATATGGTAAATACAGAAAAGAATAAAGAAGGAAATAAATATTGTCTGTAATTTTTTTTTTTTTTTTTTTTTTGAGACAGAGTCTTGCTCTGTGGCCCAACCTGGAGTGCAGTGGCACGATCTCGTCTCACCGTTATCTTTGGCTCCCGGGTTCAAGCAATTCTTGTGCCTCAGCCTCCCGAGTAGCTGGGTAGGCCCTGGCCACCACACCCAGCTAATTTTCTTATTTTTAGTAGAGATGGAGTTTTGCCATTTTGGCCAGGATAGTCTCGAACTCCTGGCCTCATGTGATCCGCCTGCCTCGACCTCCCAAAGTGCTGGGATTACAGGTGTGAGCCACTGTGCCCCGCCTCTTGCCTGTAATCTGATTATTCAGTTTGATACTTTTCTTTATAGGCAGTTCAACAGGCTTTGAGTTTTGTTTAATTACCTGTGACCAATTACATTAGTTTCCTATTACTACTGTAAATAAATTGCCACAGACTTGTTGTTAGAATAACATACATTTATAATTTTACAGTTCTGTAGATAGAAACCCAACCTATGTTTCACTGGACTAAAATCAAGGTGATGGCAGGGCTGTATATCTTTCTAGAGACCGTAGGGGAGAACTCATTTCCAAGCCTTTTTCATTTTTTAAAAAATATATATATATTTTGAGATGGAGTCTTGCTCTGTTGCCCAGGCTGGAGTGCAGTGGCACAATCTCAGCTCACTGCAACCTGTACCTCCTGGGTTCAAGCAATTCTCCTGCCTCAGCCTTCTGAGTAGCTGGGACTACAGGTGCCTGCCACGGGGCTTACCACCATGCCTGGCTAATTTTTGTATTTTTAGTAGAGATGGGATTTCACCATGTTGGCCAGGCTGGTCTTGAACTCCTAACCTCAGGTGATCTGCCCACTTCGGCCTCCCGAAGTGCTGGGATTGCAGGTATGAGCCACTGCACCCAGCCATCATTTCCAAGCCTTTTACAGCTCCTAGAGCTGCCCACATTCCTTGATTCCTGGCCCCTTCCTTCATCTTCAAAGGGAGCAATGGTTGGCCAAGCCCCCATCTCACATCACTCTGACCCCTTCTTCTGTCTATCTCTTCTCCTTTTAATGACCTTTGCGATTGCCCTGGGCCTATCTAAATAATCCAGGATAATCCCTCCTTTTCAAGGTTCTTAATTTAATTACATCTGGAAGGTCTCTTTTGCCATGTAAAGTAACATATTCACAGATTCCGGGGGATTGAGGGTGTGGACATCTTTGAGGTGCCATTATTCTGCCTAAACACGGCATGCCAGTGTAGTGCTTAAATCATGGAATCATTACATGGGTCTCTGAGTTAGTTGTTCTTTTTGGTATCTTTGCTTCACATTTAAAGCTGTGCCTAGCTTTTAGAGTAATTTCTGAATGGTCACAGATGATTTCTATTTAAATGTTTTTAGTTGGATGGAGATAGGGGAGGAAGGTCTGAAGTCAGAGTACCCCAGAGCCCCTCTGGGCATTTGAAGGAGAGGAGGCCCTGGCAGTCTAGAGGAATTGAGGATGGTAAAAAATGCTGCCTTCAGTTCTTTCTACTGGTAGGGTGACACCTGCCCTGGCAGTATGGCTAAACTGTATTGATGATGCTGAATTCTGATCCTGGGATATTGTTAGAGCCCAACCCAGAGCACCTGGCCTGAGAGAGGAAATCCATTCTTATGCTGTATGTGAAAAAGAAAGCCTTGGTGGCTGGGTGCGGTGGCTCATGCCTGTAATCTCAGCACTCTGGGAGGCCGAGGTAGGTGGATCACCTGAGATCAGGAGCTCGAGACCAGTCATCTTGGTTTTGGTGGTTTTAGCGGGCTGCTTTACTGCAGCCTGTTTTGTCAGCAAGGTCTTTATGACTTGTATCTTGTGCTGACCTCCTGTCTCACCCTGTGACTTAGAACGCCTGAACTGTCTGGGAATGTAGCCCAGTAGGTCTCAGCCTCATTTTACCCAGCCCCTATTCAGGATGGAGTTGCTCTGGTTCACACACCTCTGACAATAGCTGATTAATTTTGTCATTTTTTTGTAGAGACAGGGTCTTACTATGTTGCCCAGGCTGGTCTCAAACTCCTGGGCTCAAGTGATCCTCCTGCCTCAGCCTTCCAAAGTGGTGGGATTACAGGCATGAGCCATGCACCTAGCCTGGATACTTTCTAGTGTGGTAAAGAGGCAGCTAAAGTAATCTTTCCCTTGCTTCCATATCCTGTCCATCATCAAGCCCTGTTAACTCTTCCTCCAAAACATATCCTGAACTGGTCTGTTTCTGTCTGTACTCGTCGATTGTTACCATGCTACCATCTTTGCCTCGGCTACTGCAGGGCTCTCCTCACCTGTCTCTCTGTTTTCACTCTTGTCCTCCAAAATCCATTTTCTGTGCATCAGCCAGAGGGATTCTTCTAGATTTCAGTTCTAAACTTGATGCCCTAAGACCTCCATGTATTTGTTATTAGTGTACAATTCGGGCTTCTGACCTGGCCTGTGGGGCCCTCTGGGGACCTTCTCTGCCTGGGCCTGAACTCCTGGGCCTCCTTGCTTCCTCTTTTCCACTGTGCTGCTGCAGCAGCACCCTTTCCTGTCCTGGCTTCCTTGATCAGATCCCAATTTGAGGAACCATCTTAGAGAGGTCCTCCCTGATCACATTATCAAAAGTTGTCTTTCAGGCACTATTGTTGGAGAAATAATGATGTTATGCCAGTTTTGACGATTTTTCAAGTCTCTGTGCTGTCTTCTAGCACATTAGTTTCATCTGCCAGGTTTGTAGTGGAGTGTATCTTCTGTGTTTTAGTACAGGGTATTGATAAAGTATTGCACAGGACAGAGCAAAGTACATAGGCTTTGATAGGGCCACTTCTTCCCTCTGCTTCAGTGTTGACTCGTTAGTCAGCATTCTTTGAATCTCATTGCCTGCTTTTGCCTTCCACTGGCCACTATTATAGCATATAGCATATAGCATAACAATAATATTATAGCATATAGCATATAGCATAACAATAGATAATGTTTATTGAGCACTTAATATGTGCTGTGTTCAGTCCTAGCTGATTCACACATTTGAATTTTTTTTTTTTTTTGAGACGGAGTCTCGCTCTGTTGCCCAGGCTGGAGTGCAGTGGTGCTATCTCAGCTCACTGCAACCTCCACCTTCTGGGTTCAGGCAATTCTCCTGCCTCAGCCTCCCGAGTAGTTGGGATTACAGGTGCTTGCCACCATGCCCGGCTACTTTTTGTATTTAGTAGAAACGGGGTTTCAACGTATTGGCCAGGCTGGTCTCAAACTTCTGACCTCATGATCTACCCGCCTCGGCCTCCCAAAATGCTGGAATTACAGGTGTGAGCCACTGCGCCCGGCCACATTTGATTTTTTAAAAGCGTCAGTGAGGCATTGTTACTGCAGGTTGGTTTAGGTAACCTGTTTGTGGTCAGGAGGTGGGGACACCCACTTAGACTGTCCTAACACCAAAATGCAAACTTTAGCCATTGTGTCTTACCCCCTCTGAGTATATATTGTTTTAACCCTTAGCTCATATTACTCAGTGTTTATGTGTTTTGAGGGGCATGTGTACAATCGTTTCAGCAGCTGGAGATGTCCTGTGATCTTTTAACTAAAAAAAAATTATGACTTATTGGTTACATGGACTCTTTGGGGTTTATGGTAGTGTTTTTTTGTTTGTTTTTTGTATGTTTGTTTGTTTGTTTTTGAGACAGAGTCTTGCTGTCTCACCCAGGCTGGAGTGCAGTGGCACGATCTTGGCTCACTGCAACCTCTGTCTCCTGGGTTCAAGTGATTCTTCTGCCTCAGCCTCCTGAGTAGCTGGGACGACAGGCGCATGCCACCACGCCTGGCTAATTTTTGTATTTTTAGTAGAGACGGAGTTTCACCATGTTGGCCAGGCTGGTCTCGAGCTCCTGACCTCAGGTAATCCACCTGTCTTGGCCTCCCAAAGGGTTGGGATTACAGGTGTGAGCCACTGCATCTGGCCTATTTTTAATTTTTATTTATTTAAGAGATAGGGTCTCACTGTGTTGGCCAGGCTAGTCTCAAACTCCCAACTCAAGCTATCCTCCCACCTCAGCCTCCTAAATAGCTGGGACTACAGGCATGTGACACTGTACTCAGCTTGCTTTACTTTGAATGTGGTTTTCTGTTTTCTGGAGCTGTTTCTTACTTTCTAGGTCCAAAAGCTTCTTTGCATGTGTCCAGTGGATTTCCATGGGATCTTCCAGTTAGATGAAAGACGGAGAGATGCAGTGATTGCATTGGGCATTTTTCTGATTGAATCTGATCTTCAGGTAAGTCTTCATGAAATTAAAAGTTTCTTCATTGTAAATAGGGGTGTAGTGAGCATTTAAGTTTGTATCTGCTTATATTTACCTAAAACATTACTAGAAGAATACATTTTTTTTTTAATTTATTTATTTTTTTTTTTTTTGAGACGGAGTCTCGCTCTGTCACCCAGGCTGGAGTGCAGTGGCGCGATCTCGGCTCACTGCAAGCTCCACCTCCCGGGTTCACGCCATTCTCCTGCCTCAGCCTCCCGAGTAGCTGGGACTACAGGCGCCCACAACCGCGCCCGGCTAATTTTTTGTATTTTTAGTAGAGACGGGGTTTCACCGTGGTCTCGATCTCCTGACCTTGTGATCCGCCCGCCTCGGCCTCCCAAAGTGCTGGGATTACAGGCGTGAGCCACCGCGCCCGGCCAGAAGAATACATTTGAACCTAATTAAAGTGGTTAGTGAGGAGGGTAGGACAAGGTGGAAATGAGACTTCCAAATGTAAACCTTCTTAGAAAATTTGAGTTTTTTGGAATTATGTGTATATATTATGTTGTGAAAAAAAGTGGTTTTTGTTTGTTTGTTATTATGTGCCACAGAGTAAGTCAAAATGGTTTGAGAAGTAATTATATGCCTTCCAGGGTAGGTTTGGTTTTCAAGCTCAGGTAAAATGCTCATCATTCAGACTCAGGGGTACTGTATTTCTCCTTCCAAAAGGACAAAATCATTTTAGGTAATTTTGATATAATGTCTTTTTCAAAATTGTGATTATGTATATAAACTTGTAGAGCATATATCATTGTATCTTCTTTTTTTGTCTTTGAGATGGAGTCTTGCTCTGTTGCCCAGGCTGGAGTGCAGTGGTGCAGTGTTGGCTCACTGCAACCCCCGCCTCCAGGGTTCAAGTGATTCTCCTGCCTCAACCTCCTGAGTAGCTGGGATTACGGGTGCCAGCCACCACTCCCGGCTCATTTTTTTGTATTTTTAGTAGAGACGGGGTTTCTCCGTGTTCGGCAGGCTGGTCTTAAGCTCTTGACCTCAGGTGATCTGCCCGCCTCTGCCTCCCAAAGTGTTAGGATTACAAGCATGAACCACGTGTGAGCCATCATGCCTGGTCTCAATGTACCTTTTAATAAGGACTTAAAAACTAGCCCTGTAGCTCCAACGAAAAAATAATGTGACTGTTTTGTGTGTGTATTTTTTTTTGTTTTTGTTTGTTTGTTTTTTGAGACTATATTTTTATATTTATCAAAGCTAATTGAAACAAACAATTGATCATTGGATATTGAATCTTTTATTTATCTATTTGTTTTTATCATTACTAGATACTATTTCTAAATTCCAAGTTAATTATGCTGTGTTAGGTAAATAAAGATGTTAGACATTTGAATATTTATCTAGAAAAGGTTGCTTCCGTCTCCTGGAAATTTTGCTCTAATAAGCGTTAATATTTTGACAATATTTATACATTTGAAAAAAATAAGAATTTTAATTATAGAGCAGTATTTTAGTAATTAAATAGGTTACCTGATCAAGGTTACATAAAAAACCAAAATTAGATACATAAGCTGCATTTTGGCTTTTCTTCTACTATGTATTTGTTTATTTATTCTTAGAAACAGAGTGTCACTCTATCGCCTAGGCTGGAGTGCAGTGGCACAGTCATTATTTAATGCAGCCTTGAACTCCTGGGCTCAAGGGATTCTCCCATCTCAGCCTCCTGAGCAGCTGGGTTTATAGTCATGGGTATGATTTTTAAATTTTCTGTAGAAATGAGAGTCTTGCTATGTTGCCCATAGGTTATCTCCATATGCTAGGTTGATCTCCAACCCTGGTCTCAAGTGATCCTCATGCCTAGGCCTCCCAAAGTGCTGGGATTACAGGCATGTGCCACCGTACCCAGCCTACCTGTTTATTTATAAACGTGAAAAGAAAGAAAACCATTTTTATTTTTTCTGTTTACCACATCCTACATAAATATAAAATGAATTATAAAGGGCAAAAAAGAATTAAAAAAAAATTTTTAAGAAACTATTGTTGTTCAAATGTGGATTACTTGATAATATCTTTGACAAACACATTTCTTTATAGATTTACTTGTAAGTCCTGAAAGTATTGTACTTGTATTAGACTTCTTAAGATGACAACGAATAGATGAGCACAAGTTACTTTTGGTGTCATTCAGGTTCTGGGTAAGGACTAGCAGGGTCCCAGGTGGCATGTGACATTGTCCCTTGGACCATAGAGTTTGCCTGTATGTCCAGGGCAGCCCACTGGCCTCATATATACTAGGAGAGAAGCCTAGCATGCTTTGCCAGCCTCCTGAGAAAGCCCTAGCGACCACCTTGGTTTACCTGGTGCTTATATTCCTTGCTTCCCTCTAGGATGGGCTATGCATTAACCTCCTTCCGGTCCCAGCAGTGGGCTGCCATGGTAGCAGCTGTGGCCAGAGGAGCTGAGGTGGTTTTACTCACCCTGTACTGCTAATGTCATCACAGTTTATATAGAAAAGAGCCACCTGGAGCCACTTCCTCTGCAGGAGGCCATGTGGTTCAGGCCTTATGGAGTTTTGTTCCTGTCAGTACACTAGGATCCTCAACTGATGTCTTAGCCAGTTCCTTTTTATGGTCTAGAGAAAAAACTGTTTTGTTTTTGATAAAGTTCTTTGTTTTTGGTTATCTGTTATGGTATAACAAGCTCCCCCCAAACTTAGTGCTTAATACATTGTTTTCTGCCGGGCGCGGTGGCTCAAGCCTGTAATCCCAGCACTTTGGGAGGCCGAGACGGCGGATCACGAAGTCAGGAGATCGAGACCATCCTGGCTAACATGGTGAAACCCCGTCTCTACTAAAAAATACAAAAAAACTAGCCGGGCGAGGTGGCGGGCGCCTGTAGTCCCAGCTACTCGGGAGGCTGAGGCAGGAGAATGGCATAAACCCGGGAGGCGGAGCTTGCAGTGAGCTGAGATCCGGCCACTGCACTCCAGCCCGGGTGACAGAGCGAGACTCTGTCTCAAAAAAATAAAAATAAAAAAATAAAAATAAATACATTGTTTTCTTTGATTCATGAATCTGCAATTTAAACAGGGCTCAATTGACTCCATTTAGCGTCAGTTGGGTGGCTCAAAAGCTGGGGGCTGGAATCACCTGAAGTCTCATTCATGGGTCTTATCATAGTATAGTGTCTAGGTTCCAGGACAAATGTCCTGAAAAAGAGCCAGGTGGAAGCTGCATGCTTTCTGCCATGTTATGTTTTGTTTTGTTTTATTTTTCTGAGACAGAGTCTCGCTGTGTCGCCCAGACTGGAGTGCAGTGGCGCCATCTAGGCTCACTGCAAGCTCTGCCTCCCGTGTTTACTTATGCCATTCTCATGCCTCAGCCTCCCCAGTAGCCGGGACTACAGGTGCAGGTGCCCACAACCATGCCCGGCTAATTTTTTGTGTTTTCAGTAGAGATGGGGTTTCACCGTATTAGCCAGGATAGTCTCAATCTCCTGACTTCATGATTTGCCCACCTTGGCCTCCCAAAGTGCTGGGATTACAGGTGTGAGCCACCATGCCCAGCCACTGTCTGCCATGTTTTTATGTTTTAATTTTTTTTTTGAGACAGGATTTCACTCTTGCCCAGGCTGGAGTGCAGTGGCACAATCTTGACTTACTGAAGCCTTCACCTCCCATGCTCAAGCAATCCTCCCACCTCAGCCTCCCGAGTAGCTGGGACTACAGGAATGTGCCACTGCACCCAGCTAATACTTGTATTTTTAGTAGAGACGTGGTTTTGCCATGTTGGCCAGCCAGGTCTCGAATTCCTGGGCTCAAGTGATCCACCCGCCTGGGTCCCCCAAAGTGCTAGGATTACAGGTGTGAGCCACTGTGCCTGGCTGCAGCCATGTTTTTAAAACTACCATGTAGTTTGTCAGCATTTCAAAACGTCAAATAGTACCCCTCTTCTCTGGAGCACACTTCTTCTCTGGAGCACAACTAATCCTTAACTGGAACAGCTGTAATTAGGGAAATAGCTCCAAAAGCCAATGATGGAAGATTATGAAGCTGTATATTGGTGTTGATTGGCTAGTTCAGAAATTAGAGGAAAGTAAAATTTTTCACTGGGCTAATGTTGGCTATAAAGTCTGATGCTCAACTTGAGAAGAGCAAGAGGAAACATGAAGTAGAAAATTAAAAAAAAAAAAAAAGCAAGGAATATGGACAAAGAACATGAACAGAAAAAAGCATCACCCAGTTGAGATGCCCACACTATGAGCTTCTCTCCATCCCTAGGACCTTATTCTGGGGCTCTTGGATGGATTTTGGGGGTCTAAACCATTCTCACTGAAGACAGCTTTGAGTGCGTACACACATGTACCTTCTGGAGATGCCCAACCCCCAGAGGAGGCCTGAGCAGGCTGGACCCTCTGCTCCAGAAGGCAGGTGTGAACCCTTCCTTAGGCTCCTGTGGTACAGGTTGATGGGACAGCCTCTGGACTCTGCAGTGTGAAAACAGGAATGGAGTAATGCCATGTGAATTTACATGCTCTTTACATTATCCTTGGAGAATCTCTGAGATGATTAGGATGTGGATATGCTTTGCTTTGGGCTTAATCTGGGCTAAAAAGCTACCAATCACTTATTTTATTAAATCTAATTTCTTCTTCTTATTCTTATTTTTTAGCACAAAGATTGTGTGGTTCCTTACCTTCTGCGACTTCTCAAAGGTCTTCCAAAAGTGTATTGGGTAGAAGAAAGCACAGCTCGGAAAGGCAGAGGTAATAGTATATAATGTTTTCCTTGAATATAAAAGAAAATATACATGTTCAGTGTCTGTAGGATCAAGTGTTTATTCATACTGATACATCAGCTGCGTCTTGTCTCACTTCTGGCTGTGAAACAACTAACTGCCTGCAGCATTGTGGGCTGAGCTTACATCCATGTGTTGGCCACAGCCCATGGATGAGTTGGGGAGAAGGTGGGCCTGGGCAGGCCAGCTTTCCCTTGCATTCTTCTGAGACTGAGCATTCTTGCTCATTCTTGTTGAGACCTTCAAGAACCTTTTCTCATGTCTCATTGGCCAGAATTGGGTCACCTGCCCATCCCCAAATCAGTCACTGTTACCCTTAGAATTTATAGGCTCACTCCTGGAGTGAGGTCAGTTTTCCAGATTATACTGCTGCTGCTCAAAAAGGGTGAGATGGAGGTTGGGGACGCAACAGCAATGTTCACTGTAAATGGTTTCATCACTTTGTTTCTAAGTTGCAGTTAAACTTTGCACCTTTAGAAACGGAATAAATTGGCCGGTATGGTGGCTCACTCCTGTAATTCTAGCTCTTTGGGAGGCCGAAGTGGGCAGATCGTTTGCGTTCAGGAGTTTAAGACTAGTCTGGGTCAGCCGGGCACGGTGGCTTATGCCTGTAATCCCAGCACTTCGGGAGGCCGAGGCAGGTGGATCACGAGGTCAGGAGTTCAAGGCCAGCCTGGCCAATATGGTGAAACTCCATCTCTACTAAAAAATACAAAAATTAGCCGAGCATAGTGGTGTGTGCCTGTAGTCCCAGCTACTCGGAAGGCTGAGGCAGAAGAATCGTTTGAACCCAGGAGGTGGAGGTTGCAGTGAACCAAGACATGCCACTGCACTCCAGCCTGGGCAACAACAGAGCGAGACTCCATCTCAAAAAAAAAAAAAAAAGAAAGAGAATATTTGCAAACTATGCAAAGGTCTAATGTCCAGAATCTATGAGGAACTTAAATTTACAAGCAAAAAACAACCCCATTAAAAGGTGAGCGAAGGACAAATAGACACTTTTCAAAAGAAGACGTACAAGTGGCCAATAAATATATGAAAAATATGCTCATCATCTGATGCTAATAATCAGAGAAATGCAAATCAAAATTGCAATGAGATACCATCTCACACCAGTCAGAATGGCTATTATTAGAAAATCAAGAAATAACAGATGCTGGTGAGGTTGTGGAGAAAAGGGAACACTTGTACACTGCTGGTGTGAATATAAATTAGTTCAGCCATTGTGGAATGCAGTTTGGCAATTTCTGAAAGAACTTAAAACAGAATTACCATTTGACCCAGCAATCCCATTATTGGGTACATACTCAAAGGAATGTAAATCATCCTGCTGTAAAGATACATGCATAAGTATGTTTATTACAGCAATATTCACAATAACAAAGATAAGGAATCAACCTAAATGCCCGTCAATGGAAGACTAGATAAAGAAAATGTGGTATGTGTACCATAGAGTACTGTGTAGCCATAAAAAAAGAACAAGATCGGCCGGGCGCGGTGGCTCAAGCCTGTAATCCCAGCACTTTGGGAGGCCGAGACGGGCGGATCACGAGGTCAGGAATGATCCAGACCATCCTGGCTAACACAGTGAAACCCCGTCTCTACTAAAAAATACAAAAAACTAGCCGGGGAGGGTGATGGGCGCTGTAGATCCCAGCTACTCGGAGGCTGAGGCAGGAGAATGGTGTAAACCTGGGAGGCGGAGCTTGAAGTGGCAAACCCGGGAGGCGGAGCTTGCAGTGAGCTGAGATCCGGCCACTGCACTCCAGCCTGGGCGACAGGAGTGAGACTCCGTCTCAAAAAAAAAAAAAAAAAAAAAAAAAGAAAGATCATGTCCTTTTATTTTTTATTTTTCTTTTTTTGAGACGAAAGTCTCGCTGTGTCACCCAGCCTAGATAGTACAGTGGTGCGATCTCTGCTCACTGCAACCTCTGCCTCCCAGGTTCAAGCGGTTCTTGTGTCTCAGCCTCCCAAGTAGCTGGGATTATAGGCATGTGCCACTACGCCCAGCTAATTTTTAAGATTTATAGTGGGAGATGGGGTTTGCCCATGTTGGCTTGGCTGGTCTCGAACTCCTGGCCTCAAGTGATTTGCCTGCCTCAGCCTTCCAAAGTTGCTGGATACAAGTGTGAGGCTACTGTGCCCGGCGAGATCATGTCTTTTGCAGCAACATGGATGGAGCTGGGAACCATTATGGGAGAATTAGCACAGGAACAGGAAAACCAGACGCTGCATGTTCTCACTTATAAGTGAGATCTAAACATCGAGTACATATGAATACAGAAGGGAACAGCAGACACTGAGGCCTACTTAAGAGTGGAGAGTAGGAGGAGGGTGAGGATGGGAAAACTACTATTTTTTTTTTTTTTTTTTGAGACGGGGAGTCTCGCTCTGTCGCCCAGGCTGGAGTGCAGTGGCCGGATCTCAGCTCACTGCAAGCTCCATCCCGGGTTTGCGCCATTCTCCTGCCTCAGCCTCTCGAGTAGCTGGGATACAGCGGCCGCCACCTCGCCCGGCTAGTTTTTTGTATTTTTTTTTAGTAGAGACGGGGTTTCACGGCGTTAGCCAGGATGGTCACGATCTCTTGACCTCGTGATCCGCCCGTCTCGGCCTCCCAAAGTGCTGGGATTACAGGCTTGAGCCACCGCGCCCGGCCGAGAAAACTACTTTTTGGGTACTATACTTACTACGGGGATGATGAAATCATCTGTACACCAAATCCCCGTAACATGCAGTTTACCTGTATAACCAAACTGCACATGTACCCCTGAACCTGAAATAAAAATTAAAAAACATTCCGTTTGTGCCTATATTCCTCTTGACCTTTGGGTTTTCATCATTTCTGGTAACATGCCTAAAACTGACAGATCCCAAATTATGCATGTATCCTGCAATTTGTTAGGATTTTGTTTCTTTTTTGTGTTTTGAGACAGAGTGACTTTGAGACAGAGTGTCACTCTGTCTGCACTCCAAGCTGGAGTGCAGTGGCCTGACCTCGGTTCACTGCAACCTCCACCTCCTGGGTTCAAGCAATTCTCGTGCCTCAGCCTCCCCAGTACCTGGGATTACAGGCATGCACCACCATGCCTGGCTAATTTTTGTATCTTCGGTAGAGACAGAATTTTGCCATGTTGGCTGGGCTGGTCTTGAACTCCTGGCCTCAAGTGGTCTGCCTTCCTCGGCCTCCTAAAGTGCTAGCACTATAGGCGTGAGCCACCGCACCCAGTCTGTCGTGCAATTTGATAGACTACAAATTAAATAGAGCATCATTACTAAAAAGTCAAATTTTAGGCTGGGCATGGGCATATTCAAGTTTGAGAATAGCCTAGAGCTGCACTTTAAAATTTTAGGTGTTGGAGTAGAAATGTAAGTCTTCTGTCATGTACTATGAATATATCCATTAAATAATGGATACTCTTTTGTCCTTAATTCAATATTCAATATTCAAAATTGATTAATTTTTTATTTTTGAGATAACTCATTCTGTCACCCAGGCTGGAGTACAGTGGTGCGATCTCAGCTCACTGCAACCTCCACCTCCTGGCTTCAAGCGATTCTCCTGCCTCAGCCTCCCAAGTGACTGGGATAGGTGTACGCCACCACACCCAGCTGATTTTTGTATTTTTAGTAGAGACGGGGTTTCACCAGGTTGGCCAGGCTGGTCTCGAACTCCTGACCTCAGGTGATCTCTCTGCCTTGGCCCCCCAGAAGTGCTGGGATTATAGGTGTGAGCTACTTCGCCCAGCCAAGTGTTTTTTTTTTTAATTTTATTATTATTATTTTTTAAATTTTTTGTGATTTCTCACATTTACTTAGGGAATAAAAAGTTGAATCCGTCATGTTGAGAGGCTCTGTTATCTCACACTAGCTATTGGCTCAGGAAACATTTAAGTTTATTGAACCAAAACATTTACATAAAGGAAAGGTAGGGGTGTTTCTCAGCAAACTCATTGGGCCCATAGCTGTTCTTTTGAGACTTGTCTCAAGGAGGGGAGCTGCTGTAAACTGGTCCCTTGGCAGGTCATGGTGAGAGGGAACATACTGAGTTGGATGGCCAGAGGTGTGACCCAGTATCTGGTTCCTGGTTATCTGATTACTGTTTTTACATCTTCCAGGTGCCCTCCCAGTTTCAGAGAGCTTCAGCTTCTGCTTGGTAACTCTGCTGTCTGATGTGGCCTATAGGGATCCTTCACTCAGGGATGAGGTAAGCATGTGTTGATTTGGTGTGCATTTCTATTAGATTGAATAGAGTCCCAAAGTGATGAAAAGATTTTAAAAATGTGAAATGTGACCAGATTGCTTTTTGATATTTATCTGTTTCATTTATCTTTTTGATATTTATCTTTTTGATATTTTTCTTAGCAGACCTAAGACATGTTTAGGTCTTTCAGTACTCTTTAGGATCTCATGAGTCTTATCTCATTCAACTTTTCTTTTTTTTTCTTTTTCTTATTTCTAATGAAGGGCAGGCGCTGCAGAGACATGAGCAGCACTGTCCCTTTCAGCTTTTCAGAAAGTCGTGTAAGGTAGGCGGCAGAAAAAGGCAGAGGCAGCTCATTTTTCTTGCTCTTTGTTGGGGATTGAAGTCATTCATAGAAGATCATTTTCTTTTCTTTTGTTTTTTTGAGACAGAGTCTTGCTCTGTCATCCAGGCTGGAGTGCAGTGGCGTGACCTTGTCTCACTGCAACTTCCACCTTCCTCCTCAAGCCAGCCTCCCTCCTCAGACTCCCAAGAAGCTGAGACTATAGGCGTGCACCATCACGCCAGCTAATTTGTTTTGTATTTTTTGTAGAGACGAGATTTGGCCACGTTGCCCAGGCTGGTCTTGAACTCCGGGCCTCAAGCGATCCTCCTGCCTTGACCTCCCAGAATGCTGGGATTATAGGTGTGAGCCACTGTGCCCAGCTAGAAGAGAATCTTCTAGGTAGCTGAAGCTTTTATCTTTAAGGGCACAGACTTTCTTTAGATTTTGTTAATTTTGATAGAAATGTTACAAACATGTATTTCATACTTTCCTCTTCTTTAAGCAAAGAATATAATCATACAACTTCTTCTTAGATTTATCGCTTAGAAAGTTAGTTTTTGTATGCTGGTATTCTAGGTTCTTCCAAGCAGTGCCTAGTTGCTTGTCTGCATTCTAAGTGTTCCCAGTTAGTGATGTATTTTGACTAATTTAGATTCTTCATTTATTTGTAGGTTGGCTAAAGATATAATTAAATATGTTAGAATTATGTGTTTTTATTTAAAAGTTGAACATTAAAGGCTTTTCTGTTAATATAATTTATCAGAATAAAGAGGTCAACACCAGAGGTGATAACATGACTTTAACATATAAAATGGAAAATGTGGGTGGGTGTGGTGGCTCAGGCCTATAATCCCAGCACTTTGGGATGCTGAGGCAGGTAGATCACTGAGGTCAGGAGTTTGAGACCAGCCTGGCCAACAGGGGGAATCCCTGTCTCTACTAAAAATACAAAAATTAGCCAGGTGTGGTGGCAGGAGCCTGTAATCCCAGCTGCTCAGGAGGCTGAGGCATGAGAATCACTTGAACCCAGGAGGCAGAGGTTGCAGCGAGCTGAGATCATGCCACTGCACTCCAGCCTGGGCAACAGAATGAGACTCGGTCTCAAAATAAATAAATAAATAAATAAAATAAAATAAATAAGTAAAATGGAAAAAGTATTGCTTTTCAAGCTTTCATAGAGTATTCAGCATTGTTTAATATTAGGAAAATGTAAGAGATTTGACTTGGTTATGAACAAGTCATGTCACACCAACTTCATTTTTTCTTTGCCTGGGTTTTCTAAGAAGAGTGGTTGAGAGAAATGAAGTTGTTGCAGTCTAGTGGATCTTCATAAAGGCTTTAGACAAGCACCTTTCCTGACATCCTGGACCAATTATATGGGCTGAGGGCCAAATGGTTTGGAGGGTTTGCAGAACTGCCTGAAGGACTGTCCCAAAGGGTTATCAGTGAGGTATCGGCCCAGCAAGACCCTCCTATCATTGGAGCAAAACAAGCTAGTGCTGTGAATTAAGATCTGGAAAGCAAGTTGATTTCATTTGTAGAAGGCACAAAGCTGGGAATCACAGATTTGTACAATGAGCTAAAGCTAATACCATGAGTTTTTGTAGGAATACATGAAAGATAAAAAATACCAACTACGTTGGTAGAGATTACATAGTTTAGGAGAAGCAGGTGCAAAAAAAGACTTAGGTATCTTCCTCATTTATAAGCTTGTTGTTATGCATGGTGGCTCACGCCTGTAATCCCAAGTTCTGGGAGGGTGAGGCAGGAGGATCACTTGAGCCCAGGAGTTTGAGACCAGTTTGGGCAACATAGCGAAACCCATCCCTACAAAAATAAAAATAAAAATTAGCTGGGCATAGTGACACATGCCTGTAATCCCAGCTACTCAGGAGGCTGAGGCAGGAGGATTGCTTGAGTCCAGGAGTTTGAGGCTCCAATGAGCTATGATTGAACCCCTGCACTGATCTTGGCTCACTCCATCCTCAGCCCTCCGGGCTCAAGTGACCCTCACACCTCAGCCTCCTGAGTATTTGGGACCACAGGCACGTACCACCACACCTGGCTAATTTTTGTATATTTTGTAGAGACAGGGTTTTGATACTTTGCCCAGGCTGGTCTTGAACTCTTGAGTTCAACTAATCCACCCGCTTCAGCCTCCCAAAGAGCTGGGATTTTAGACATGAGCCACCCTGCCAGGACAAAAAACAATTCTTTTTTTTTGAGACGGAGTCTCACTCTGTCGCCCAGGCTGGAGTGCAGTGGCCGGATCTCAGCTCACTGCAAGCTCCGCCTCCCGGGTTCACTCCTGCCTCAGCCTCCCAAGTAGCTGGGACTACAGGCGCCCGCCGCCTCGCCCAGCTAAAAAAAAATTTTTTTTTTTTTTTTTTTTTTTTTTTTTGAGGCGGAGTCTCGCTCTGTCGCCCAGGCTGGAGTGCAGTGGCGCGATCTCAGCTCACTGCAAGCTCCACCTCCCGGGTTCCCGCCATTCTCCTGCCTCAGCCTCCCTTGTAGCTGGGACTACAGGCGCCGCATCACGCCCGGCTAGTTTTTTGTATTTTTAGTACAGACGGGGTTTCACTGTGTTAGCCAGGATGGTCTCGATCTCCTGACCTCGTGATCCGCCCGTCTCGGCCTCCCAAAGTGCTGGGATTACAGGCTTGAGCCACCGCGCCCGGCCTAAAAAACAATTCTTAACTTAAAAAATTATGGGCTGGATGTGGTGGCTCACGCCTGTATCCCAGCACTTCTGGGAGGCTGAGGCGGGTGGATCACCTGAGGTCAGGAGTTTGAGACCAGCCTGGCTAATATGGTAAAACCCCATCTGTACTAAAAATATAAGAAATTAGCCATACCTGTTTACAGAATATGTTAATACAGGAAAAAGTAGCCCCAAGGGCTGGTAGGTACAAGCCCCAGGAGGACAACATTGGCCCAGTGTTGGGAGGAACTCTGAACCAGCCCAGAGAGTGAGGGTTTTGTCCTTGGAAAGTCAGCTGGTTGGCCACTTGGCACGGTCATTGTGGAGGGATGTATCAGATATGGGGCTGGTTAAGATGTCTGAAGTACCTTCTAATTTTGACTTAGTTTTGTGATATTTACCTAATTTTGTTTATATTTGTTTGTTTTCTTGTTTCCTTGACTATTGCAGATTTTAGAAGCGCTTTTGCAGGTTTTGCATGTCCTCTTGGGGATGTGCCAGGCCTTGGAGATTCAAGACAAAGGTACAAGTATCGTTAACGTTTTTCTTAAAATGGTTTTGTGGTTACTCTTTCGCTTGCTTTTCTCCAGTCTTTTCTGTTGTTGGGTACCTAATGTATATGATGGGAGAAAACCTTCCTATTTTAGTTTGATTTGTTGTGTGTAAGTATCCTCAGAGGCCACGTGGGGTCATGCGCATTGCTCTGCTATGTAGATGCTGGGTCACCTTGGACAAGTAACTTCACCCTTATGGGCCCCAGTTTCTTCACTTGTAACATCTGTGGGTAGATTAGTTGACTTCCAAAGGTCATTTTTTCTGTATTGTAGGGCTACCGATATGCTTCTAAGAGGAATAAATGTATTAACTAGAGTCAAGGTACTTGATAATATGACCTAGCTATGTTATTGATTTGGATGTGCCATGAATAGATGAAGACCTTCCAAAGAGGGCAGCTGGGTGTGTTGAAGACATAGTCTGAAGTTATTAATGACAGGTTGAAGATATCACTGGCCAGCCCTTGGGGTTGACCTCATTATTGTGGCTTATTTTGAAGCTTCACAGTTATTAGTGGGTGAATTGTGAAATCTTAGTCAATGTTACAAGTTAGTACTTACCGTATGACTACTTACCGTATGACTCTGTCAGGATACTTTCTCATATTGTAATGTTTTCACTTGATTTTCTAGAATACCTTTGCAAGTATGCTATCCCATGCCTGATAGGAATCTCGCGAGCATTTGGGCGTTACAGCAACATGGAAGAGTCTCTCCTCTCAAAGCTCTTTCCAAAAATCCCTCCTCATTCCCTCCGTGTCCCAGAAGAGCTTGAAGGTGTTCGAAGGCGTTCCTTTAATGACTTCCGCTCCATCCTCCCCAGCAATCTGCTGACTGTCTGTCAGGAGGGTACCCTGAAGAGGAAAACCAGCAGTGTGTCCAGCATCTCTCAGGTGGGCCTGGGCTACTGGGGAAAGAGCAGAGGAGAAAGACCCTGTTAAGCTCCCCTGCAAAGAAAATCCCTCTTCTTTGTAGTTGGAGTAAACTTAAGTAATGTGAAATGTTTCACTAGAATTCTCTTTAATACAGACTTGTCTTGTCCCTCTTAAGATGTTGGGGGAAAGGCTTATAGAGAGCCTGTATAAACTGGCCGTAAAAATATAAAACAGTAAGGTGTAAAAAGCCACAAAAGGCCTTTTAAAAAAAAAAGCCTTCTTATCGCCGTTACGTTCCCATACTCTGAGCAGGACTTACTTTCTTATCCGTAAACACTGTGTTAAAAAAAAAAATCAACACTCCTTTAAAACATTAAAATATGGCCAAACATACAGACTCCTAGTTAAGCACGCTCGCACTTAACTACTCTCCAATAAGTTAAAAATATACTGTTTAAACACACAAAAAAATTCATTTAAACTGTCACTACTGTAGATGACACATATGACACACTGCCTCCCTTTCACCGTTTCACCCTAAACATCTGCTTCTTAAATCTAAGTGATTGTACTCAATAAATAGTGTAAAAAACAAAACTCTAGGCCTTTGCAGCCTCTGATTTCCTCTGGCCCCCTGGCTGCCACCTTTATAAACTCTTAACTTGTCTCTTCTCATTCCTTTGTCGCCACCAAACTTCAAATACCCTATGGGTGGTGTTGAGGCTAGTCCCCAACGTAAGATTTATAAGTGATTTCATAGTCATAAAGTATGTGTTTCATAGCAGTTGGGTGCCAAATTCTATTCTGCCTGGAAGACAGTTGGTGCCCTTAAGAAGTATATAATTGACTCATGGAGAAAAGGCAAAAACACAAAACACTGAGGACAATTGAACTCAGTAATCAAGTGTCAAATATACAGCTAAACACGAAGAATTTAGTGATACAGTATGCAATAGAGAATGCTGTAGCTGTGTTGGGCTTTAGGAAGGAAATGAGCTTCAACCAGGACTTGAAGTCTAAGACAAATCTGACAGAGGTCTCACTGGTCTTTTCTGATCTGTAACTGTGGTTATGTGTTTCAGGTCAGCCCTGAACGTGGCATGCCCCCTCCCAGTTCCCCTGGAGGATCCGCCTTTCACTACTTTGAAGGTGGGCTTTACCTCTCTCAGGAATGTTGACCTAGTACTTAGAGAACAGGCTCACAGTGACTTCTCGTGATATTAAAGATGCTGATACTAACTCTGTTGTCACGGATGGACCTAGAGTGCCAAGCTTTTAGAAAGCATTTATTTTCTGTTTTCATTTATGTTTTCTAAAATTTAATTTTCAAATATTTTATATATAGAGAAAAGTACAGAAAATAGCTTACCCCATATACCTGCCATCAGAATTTTTGCACTTTAACCTGTAAAAGTTCCTTTTCAGATGGAAGTGCTAATGGTGGATATTTCTTTTCTTTTTCCAAGATGGTGTCTGGCTCTGTTGTCCAGGCTGGAGTGCAATGGCGTAATCTCGGCTCACTGCAGGCCCTGCCTCCTGGGTTCAAGCAATTCTTTTTGCCTTCAGCCCTCCCTAGTTATAGCTGGGGGACTATAGGCACACACACCATGACTCAGCTAATTTTTGTATTTTTAGTAGAGACAGGTTTCACCATGTTGGCAGGGCTGGTCTCGAACTCCCATTACCTCAAGTGATCCACCCATTCGGCCTTCAGAGTGCTAGGATTAATGGCATGCAGCCCCACACCTGGCCGGACATTTTTTTTAAATGACATTAAGGTTATGTGATAATATAAAGAATGTGTAATACTACTATTACACTTTTTTTTTTTTTTTTTTTTTTGTTTGAGACAGAGTCCACTCTGGCCTCCCTTTTTAGCTGGAAGTGCAGTGGCACCATCACGGCTCCACCACAGCCTTCACCTCCTGGCCTCAAGTGATCCATCCACCTCAGCTCACCAGTAGCTAAAGACTATAGGCACCCCTCCACAATTGGCCACTACTGTGCTTTTTGTAGAGATGGATTTTTTCATGATTGCCCAGGCTGGTCCAGAACTCCTGGCTCAAGCCTGCCTCAAGTCTCTTCAAAAGTGCTAGGATTTGCCAGGTGTGAGCCCACACCCAGCCTTTACTACTTTTGAAGAGCCTTGCTGTTCACAAAGTACCTTTTTAATAATTCTACTAAATTGGATCATGGACTCACCCTGTGCCATGTAGAACATGTTAAAAATTACTTCTACCCATCTTGGATGGGAAGTAAAGACCCAGATTAGGGATAGGAATGGGGAAGGGCAAGAATTCCATGCTCTCAGGTAAAGTCTCTCCATTTTGGAATGATGCTATTTTTAAAGAGCATGTCTCAAGACAATTCTGAGAGATGTGAAGGAATTTGAAGGAACAGGGAATATCTCGGGCTTAATAAATGTAGGAAGCTTTTCATCTTCTTAGATCTGTGAAGAATTACAGGTTACTTCTATATATAGTTAGAATATAATGGCATATTCAGCCCTCTCCAGAAATCGTACTCCTTAGGACACACTCCTCGTGTTAAGTGTGAGAAATGTATTCCTCCAGGCTCTGGAAAATCGCTCTGCCACCCGTCTGCACTGTTGGGGCATTTCTATGGATGGCCCATGAATGTTACCTCTCTCTTTTTTTTTTTTTTTTTTTTTGAGCGGAGTCTCCGCTCTGTCGCCCAGGCTGGAGTGCAGGTGAGGCAATCTCGGCTCACTGCCAAGCTCCGCTTCCTGGTCCCCGCCCATTCCCTGCATCAGGACCTTCCTGGAGTGAGGACCTGACACAGGCGCCCGCCAGGCGCCGGCTAATGTTTGATTATTTATTATATTTTATTTATTTTATTTATTTTTTTTTTTTGAGACGGAGTCTCGCTCTGCCGCCCAGGCTGGAGTGCAGTGGCCGGATCTCAGCTCACTGCAGCTCCGCCTCCGGGTTCACGCCATTCTCTTTGCGTCAGCCATCCCGAGTAGCTGGGACTTACAGGCGCCGCCACCCTCGGCCCGCTAGTTTTTTTTATTTTTTAGTAGAGACGGGGTTCTCACCGGTAGCGCAGCGTCGGCTGTTCGATCTCCTGGACCGTCGTGACGCACGCGCTCGGACTCCCAAGTGCTTGGGATTACAGGCCTTGAGCACGCGCCCGGCAATTTTTTATGTATTTTTAGATTAGGAGACGGGGTTTACCGTGTCTCGATTCTCCTACCTCGTGTCCGCCCCCAACCTGGGCCTGCCCAAGTTGCTGGTTACAGGCGATGAGCACCGGTGGCCCAGCCGCCTGGATGATCTACTCTTGGAGGCTTCCCTTTTCCTGGTAAACAGCTCATTGTCCACCCTCTGTGGTGAGGGCTCCTCTCCTTGACAGCTGCCCCAGTTTGAGCACATCCAGTAAGTGGCAGATAGGAGCACAGTGGTGTGGCTGACTGTGAGATCCCCACACATCTCTCCATCAGACCTGGCTCCGCCCACTTTGCCTGTGATGATGACCAGGCAAGCGAGCCCTGCTCTCTGAAGTGCCTCACTGTAGGACAGACAACAGCAGACCCTATGCCTTCCGAGTTTCCTCTCAGACTTCCTGTTTTGCTTGGACTTTTTTTTTTTTGAGTTGGGGTCCTGCTCTGACACCCAGGCTGGAGTGCAGGGGTGCAGTCATAGCGATCCTCTGGCCTTGGCCTTTCAAGTAGCTGGGATTTAAGGTATGTAACACCACATACTCAGACTTTTCTTACAGCCGGTCCTTCTGTCTCTCTTCCCAGGTCCTCTTCCAAACTGCTGTAAGAATTTAGTTTTTAAGAATTATTTTTAGGCCAGGAGAGGTGGCTCACGCCTGTAATTCCAGCACTTTGGGAGGCCCAGGTGGGAGGATTGCTTGAGCCTAGGAGTTTGAGACCAGCCTGGGTAACATAGTGAGACCCTTAAAAAAATAAATAAAATAAAAAATAAATAATAATTTTTTTTTTTTTTTTGATTTGAGACGGAGTGTCCCTCTGTCTCCCAGGCTGGAGTGCAGTGGCGTGATCTTAGCTCACTGCAAGCTCTGTCTCCCAGGTTTTATGTCATTCCCTTGCCTCAGCCTCCGAAGTAGCTGGGACTACAGGCATGCACCACCTACACCTGGCTAATTTTTTTGTATTTTTAGTAGAGATGGGGTTTCACCATGTTAGCCAGGATGGTCTCCATCTCCTGACCTCATGATCCGTCCGCCTCAGCCCCCAAAGTGCTGGGATTACAGGCTTGAGCCACCGCGCCCAGCAATAAGAATTATTTTTAATAGCACAAATTTGATCACTTGTTTTCTTGCTTAAAAACTTTCAGGCTGGGCACAGTGGCTAATGCCTGTAATCCCAGCACTTTGGGACAGGCGGATCACTTGAGGCTAGGAGTTCGAGACCAGCCTGACCAACATGGTGAAACCCCATCTCTACTAAAAATAGAAAAATTAGCCAGGCGCGGTGGCACACACCTATAATCCCAGCTGCTCGGGAGACTGCCTTGAGAATCGCTTGAACCTGGAAGACGCAGGTTGCAGTGAGCCGACATCATGACACTGCCCTCCAGCCTGGGCAACAGAGTGAGACTCTTGTCTCACAGGAAAAAAAACAAAAACAAAACTAGTTTCAGTGACACCCCCTGCATAAATCCCAAATGTTAAGTCCCTAGTTCCTGCAGCCCCTGTCTTTTGCCATCATCTGTGCCCTCTGTGGGGTTCAGCCACACAGGACTTAGCCCTTATTTCATGGTGTCTTTCTGAGAAATGCCCGATAATCACAACCTTCCCTTCTTCCTTATCTACCCTTTTTAATCCGGCTGTTTTCTCCCTCCCTTCTTTCCTTACTTGTTCCCTTTTTCAGTGGCCATTTCTTATGTTGGCCTCTTGGCGTCTCAGCTCCCAGTGGTATTGTTGCCCATCCTTTCTGCTGTAGGTTGCTGATTTGCGTCCATCTTTAGACAGATTGGCAGTGCGCTGCCAGCTGTTAGACACCAGCTTTGACACAACTGGGGCTAAACTCAACTCTTTGAGTCTGTTCTCTAGTGCTTAAAAAAGTCATAAAATTTAGTATTCACTTCTTTATGAATTGATATTGTCTGTCTTATGAACATGTTACAAATTCATCTATTTTTCAATCATAGTTTTTTTTTTTTTTTTGAGACGGAGTCTCCCTCTGTCGCCCAGGCTGGAGTGCAGTGGCATGATCACGGCTCACCACAGCTTCAACCTCCTGGACTCAAGTGATCCTCCCACCTCAGCCTCCCAAGTAGCTAAGACTATAGGCACCCTCCACAATGCCCACTAACTTGTGCATTTTTTGTAGAGATGGGATTTTGTCATGTTGCCCAGGCTGGTCCAGAACTCCTGGGCTCAAGCCTGCCTCAGTCTCTCAAAGTGCTAGGATTGCAGGTGTGAGCCACCACACCCAGCCTGTTACTACTTTTGATAGAGCTCTGCTGTTCACAAAGTACTTTTACATAATTTACTAAATTGGATTCATGTGACTACCCTGTGCCATGTCAGACACATGTTAAAATTACTTCTACCTCATCCTTGATGGAAGTAAGACCCAGATTAAGGGATAGGAAATGGGGAAGGCAGAATTCCATGCTTCAGTATAGTCTCTCCATTTTTGAATGATGCTATTTCTTAAAAGAGCATGTCTCAAGACAATTCTGAGAGATGTGAAGGGAATTTTGAAGGAAAAAGGGAATATCTGGGCTTAGATAAATGTAGGAAGCTTTCCATCTCTTAGATCTGTGAGAATGTAACAGGTTACATTCTATATATATGTTAGAATATATGGGCTAATTTCAGCCTCTCAGAATCGTACCTCTTAGAGACAACTCCTTGTTTAAGTGTAGAATGTATTCCTCCAGGCTCTGAAAATCTCTCTGCCACCCGTTTGCCTTTGGGGCATTTTAGGATGGCCATGATGTACTCTCTCTCTTTTTTTTTTTTTTTTTTGAGGCGGAGTCTCGCTCTGTCGCCCAGGCTGGAGTGCAGTGAGGCAATCTCGGCTCACTGCAAGCTCCGCCTCCTGGGTTCCCGCTATTCTCCTGCCTCAGCCTCCCGAGTAGCTGGGACCACAGGCGCCGCCACCTCGCCCGGCTAATTTTTTGTGTTTTTAGTAGAGACGGGGTTTCGCCGTGTTAGCCAGGATGGTCTCAATCTCCTGACCTCGTGATCCGCCCGTCTCGGCCTCCCAAAGTGCTGGGATTACAGGCTTGAGCCACCGCGCCCGGCCGGCAGCTACCGTTCTATATATGATTTGGGTTCCTCAAATAAGCGGGATCGTACAGTATTTGTCTTTTAGTGACAGGTGTATTTCACTTATTTGCTCTGATTTTGAAAGTTCTAGTAGTGTGCATTTTTTATTCTAATTTTGGTGGGAAAATATCTCAGGCCCTGTAGACCTCAAGCTTTCATATCTCTTCACCTTTAAAAAGGTATAATTTGGCTGGGCATGGTGGCTCACGCTTGTAATCCCAGCACTTTGGGAGGCTGAGACAGGTGGATCACTTGAGATCAGGAGTTCAAGACCAGCCTGGTCAACATGGCGAAACGCTGTCTCTACTAAAAATACAAAAATTACCTGGGTGTGGTGATGGACATCTGTTATTCCAGCTACTCGGAAGGCTGAGGCAGGAGAATTGCTTGAACCTGGGAGGCAGAGGTTGCAGTGAGCTGAGATCGCACTACTGCACTCCAGCCTGGGCAACAGAGCGAGACTCTGTCTCAATAAAAATAAAAATAAAAATAAAAAGGGTATAATTATTTTTTCACTTCCCACATATTAAGTTATATCGTCTAAGATGGAAATATTAGGACCATCATATCTGAGTCAGACCTGAAAGACACAGGTGAGGGGCATCAGTCCCCAAGGATTTGCAATCTACCCTTTAGTTGTTAATTTTAAAACATGCAGAGAATTGGGATATAAACAAAAGCAAAATCTGCACCTTTGTTGGTTATTAGAGGAGTCAGCTTGAGGAAGTACCCTAGTTGCCTGTGACCATGGCTGAGTTTCCAGCTTTATCTCCCACCAGCCTCCTGCTTGCCCGATGGGACTGCCCTAGAGCCTGAGTACTACTTTTCAACCATCAGCTCCAGTTTCTCCGTCTCTCCCCTTTTCAACGGCGTCACATATAAGGAGTTTAACATTCCATTGGAAATGCTTCGGGAACTCTTAAACTTGGTAAGCAAAGAACTGATGGATGAACAGACTATGGATATGTCAGTAAAATTGCTAGTGGTGAAAGCTTGTATTTTTAAAAGAAAAACTCAGAGTACCAGTATTTCAAAGTACCATTTAATAGTCATAAACTTGCAGATTAATGAAGGAAGTAGAGTAACATTCATGGAATCATTGTGCACTAGTTTCTCATTTAATCCTTGAGCAACCATGCTGGGGAGGCACCCATGCATCCCCATTTGGAGGTCAGGAAATCGGTATCAAACACATCATGGATATGTAGGCCAGCGGCTGGGCTGCATCCAGTCCAGGGATTCTGACTCCAAGCCCAGTGCTTTTCCTGGGCTTGACTCCCTCTAAGGGGTGGCTCTTTGGGTTAATATAAAACCTGACTTTTTCATATTTGTGTACCTTTGGATGACGTTTAGGGTGATACCAGAGAAAACACCAGTGCCATTGTTCGAATCCTTAAACGGCCAGAGCTTTGGTCAGATTCAGGGACCTTGGTTGGATGCATGGCTCATGCCTATAATCCCAACTTTGGGAGGCCAAAGCAGGCGGATCACTTGAGGTCAGGAGTTAGAAGACTAGGCTGGCCGACATGGTGGAGTCTCATCTCTACTAGAAAACACGAAACTTTCTCTGCACATGGTGATGGATCCCTGTAATTCCAGCTACTCAGGAGGCAGAGTTAGGAGGATCGCTTGAACTTTGGAGGTGGAGGTTGCAGTGAGCTGAGATTGCACCACTGCACTCCAGCCTGGGCAACAGAGTGAGACTCCATCCCCCCAAAAATTGAAAAATAAAGATCCAGGGGCCCTGAAGTTGTTATAATCAAGCTAGGATGGTTCAAGACAGATTTGAATGGGTATGGGTGATGATGTCATCAAGGCCAGACTCTCAAGTTTGAACTTGCTGGTCAGGAGTTAGAAGACTAGCCTCGCCAATATGAGAACAATGAGAACAATTTGGATAGCATGGAGCAAGTGCTGAAGAGTGTCCACCTCCCTGCTATGTGGAGTGTGAATAGAAATCCCTCAGAGAATGGCTTTAGGCTGAAGATGTAAGAAGACATTACAACATAGGTAATAATTAATGAGGATGGAGCCATAATGAATTACTAAATAGGCTAGGATGTTTTTGAAGTTGCTGTCAAGAAGGAAAACTGTCCCCAAACTGCTTCTCAGTGTCAGTGCCCCAGACAGAATGGTGGCCTGGTAGAGCCATGACCTTCACAGATGACTGTTCCCAGTACCATGTCAGAAATTCTAACTGAAGACTGACTGTTTCACATCCTTTCTTGGGGTATTATTTTTTGCAGTATATTTTAACTTTTTTCAAGTTTAGGTTTTCTTTTTTTTTGAGATGGAGTCTCGCCCTGTCGCCTAGGCTGGAGTGCAGTGGCACGATCTCGGCTCACTGCAAGCTCCACCTCCTGGGTTCATGCCATTCTCCTGCCTCAGCCTCCTGAGTAGCTGGGACTCCAGGCACCTGCCACCATGCCCGGCTAATTTTTTGTATTTTTAGTAGAGACGGGGTTTCACCGTGTTAGCTAGGATGGTCTCGATTTCCTGACCTCATGATCCGCCCACCTTGGCCTCCCAAAGTGCTGGGATTACGGGCGTGAGCCACCACGCCCAGCCTAGGTTTTCTTTTAGGTGGTTTTTCATTTCTTTTCCTAGCATGTTTATCATTATCTGTACAGTTTGGAAATGACCTTCATCAAATACTACAATTGTGGATGTGGGCAATTTTTTTTTTCTTTTTTTTTTTTTGGTGTTTCTGCAGTTAACAGTTCATTCCTATACTAAATGCTGTACAGAGAACAGGTGAAAATAATTGCTTCTATTGAAAATTTAAAATGTGAGCTCTAGTTTGAGTACCTAAGCAGTTGTAGAAGAGCCAGTGTACCTCGCCCAGGGAGGAGGGAGGTGCCATCAGCTCCAAGGACTGGCTGTGGGGGTGTCCTTGATGTCTGGGAGGGGATTGCAGGAGGATGTCACTCAAATGTGCTTGTTAACCATGAGTGGGTGAAATGGCAGCAAGGCCTGAGGTCTGCACATCCTGGAAACGGAAATCTCATATCAACAAATTTGAGGGAGTTTGGCTTTTTTCCTTTGTTTTTATGTCATTGCTATCTAAGGTAGGAAAGCAGTCCCAAGTGACTTCAGAATTAAAGGCATTTTGTGCGTATAGTTTAATACATAGCCATAATTTGTATTTATTGGCCTTTATCTGCATCACATTTTTCACCATGTGAGTTTGTCACGGGTTTTTAGTAGAAGGAGCTAGCATTTCTGTCTCTGTGTATGTCAGTTGCTTCATGAGGTTCTGTTTCCTTGGTAGGTGAAGAAGATCGTTGAGGAGCCTGTTCTCAAATCCTTGGATGCCATTGTAGCCAGTGTGATGGAGGTATGTCGCTTCTGAGGGCATTACCATGAAATCAGCCTGACTTAAACATGCGTGTAGAGAAAGCAGGAAGAGTTTGAGCGGGGGCTAGAGTGGAAGGGGTTTTGCAGCGTTTTCACTTCCCTTGTTTATGTGGTAACAATCCACCTGCCACTGAGGGCTTGGTCTGTGCTGGGTACTGTTGCATGCTCTTTTAAAATCATCACCTCTTGGTGCCTCTGACTGGCAGCCAACGTCTCCATTACACAGACGGAAGATAGAGTTTCAGGGAGAACTCACTAACGTGCCCACATCACGTAGTTATTGTGGGAGCTGGGAGTCTGGCCTGGGTCTCTCCTACTCTTTTATCTTCGTCGCTCCTTTGGTGCTTACAAAGCTGCTCCTCTGGGCTCAGCTGCATTTTCTAGGCATGTGCAAGCCCTGGTTTTTAAGGGTAAAGAGTGTGTAACTAGGTAACTTTTTTTTTTTTTTTTGAGACGGATGGTCTCGCTCTGTTGCCCAGGCTGGAGTGCAGTGGCGTGACCTTGGCTCACTGCAAGCTCCACCTCCTGGGTTCACGCCATTCTCCTGCCTCAGCCTCCCAAGTAGCTGGGACTACAGGTGCCCGCCACCATGCCCAGCTAAATTTTTTTGTATTTTTTAGTAGAGATTGGTTTTACCTTGTTATCCAGAATGGTCTTGGTCTCCTGACCTCGTGATCCGCCCACCTCTGCCTCCCAGGGTGCTGGGATTACAGTTGTGAGCCACCATGCCTGGCTGGAACTTTTGTCTTTAATGCATTTGGAACCAAGGCCTACAGCATTACTTATGAAATCATTACATTGGTGCTGAGAGGTCTCAGAATCTCAGGGAACATTTGGGTCAGGCCCCTCTTGAGGGTTAAGATGCAGACAGGTTGTCATTTGCCAGGCTAATTATTACCATTGGTATGTCCTGGACCCAGATTCCTTGTTTAAGCCTGGTGTTCCGTCTCTTACCTGATTATAAGACGCACAGTGCCTCATACCACTGTACCTGGGGCTCAGGTATGAAGCAGGGAAGGAACTACCAGGGCCCTTCATGTGCTGTAGACCATGTCTCTTCCTGCTTCGCACCCCTGCCAGCAAGCTGTCGCAGATGTGAGATGGATGTGCTGGCTGTGGTTTGGTCTGGGTTGGTTCTTGATTAAGTAACAGAGTTCTTGTTAACTCCCCAAGTTGCATCTGGGCAGTTCCTACCTTGTCTTCAACTCTTTTGCAGGTTGTCGTTCTGCCCATTGGCCTGAGCTTTAGCTCTCTCACTCGCTCACTGTAGACTGAACTTGTGGTCTCAGAGGCCTTTTGTTTTCCATCATCAGTGTGTGATCATTTGTGATTGAGGAAAGATTAGGAGGACCGGGGCGAGAACTGGGCTGGGCAGTTAGACAACTGGAGACTTATTGGGCCTGCACTTCTCCTCTGAGACCCTCCTCCTCATTGAACCAGGGCAGTTTCTGGTATTTTTTGTTTTGTAATTTGTACTTTAGCATAAACATCCATTTGAAGAAATGGTTTCATAGCTTAAAAAAACAGTTTCTTGGCCGGGCGCAGTGGCTCAAGCCTGTAATCCCAGCACTTTGGGAGGCCGAGACGGGCGGATCACAAGGTCAGGAGATGAGACCATCCTGGCTAACACGGCGAAACCCCGTCTCTACTAAAAACACAAAAAATTAGCCGGGCGAGGTGGCGGCGCCTGTGGTCCCAGCTACTCGGGAGGCTGAGGCAGGAGAATAGCGGGAACCCGGGAGGCGGAGCTTGCAGTGAGAAAGGGAATGTGAGTTAATGAAAGCAAAGATACTTAATAGGGAAAAACCAAAGTAAAAAGACGAAAAAAAAAAAAAAAAAAAAAAAAAAAACAGTTTCTTGTAATCTTGACCTAGAGTCTGCAATATACTAATCATTATCCATAACCAGTGTAATAATCACTACCAATTATTACATGCTTATTATGTGCCAGAACTTTACTCACTCACTCCTTGAATCTCACAGCAATCCCCAGTTTACACATGGGGAAACGGAGTCTTGGCTAAGGAACTTTATTTACATAGCTCGTGAGTGATGGAACCCGGCTGTGGGCTTTGGATGGTTGGTCTCCAAGGCTCCAAAGCTTAACACTCATGTTGTCTGGACTCCCAGAGTCAAAGCCCTGAACTGCTTTAACCTCTCGCAGTCTCGTTTTTCCATTTATGCCCTGTGAAGGCCACCAAACGTTGTCTGTAAAGCCATCATTGCAGTGCTGTCAACCACAGCTCTTCCTGTCAGTGCCCTCCTGGCATGACTCTCACACTCTCCACATGATTCTTCTTTTCTCCACTTGCTCACTCACCATCTGTCAACCTTACACTGCATGTCCCGTCCCACTCTGGCCAACTTCTAGCCCCTTAAAGATTTGCTATATTTGCAGAGCACTTTCACACTTGTCAAGAATTATAATATGGCCGGGCGCGGTGGCTCAAGCCTGTAATCCCAGCACTTTGGGAGGCCGGGGCGGGTGGATCACGAGGTCAGGAGATCGAGACTATCCTGGCTAACATGGTGAAACCCCGTCTCTACTAAAAATACAAAAAACTAGCCGGGCGTGACTGTTAGTCCGCACTGCAAGGTGAGGCAGATTGAAGCGTGAACCTGGAGGCGGGCTTGCAGTGAGCTGAGATCGCTCACTGCACTCCAGCCTGGTGATCACCAGCCAGACTCCGTCTCAAAAAAAAAAAAAAAGAATTATAATATTAGCTGGGCATGGTGGTACATGCCTGTAGTCCCCTGCTTCTCAGGGAGGCTGAGGCAGGAAGATCACTTGAGCCAGGAGTTCAAGGGCTGCAGTGAGCTGTGATTACTGCCCCCCAGCTGGGCACAGAGTGAACCTATCTCCGGAAAAAAAAAAAGAAAAAGAACAAGAGTTATAATAAACCATAATTTTCCCCTACTCAACTGGGAATTATGAAGAAGTAAGGGACTGTTCTCTTTTTTTTTTTTGAGGGACAGAGTCTCGCTCTGTCACCCAGGGTGGAGTGTGGTGACGTGATCTTGGCTCACTGCAACCCCTCTGCCTCCCAAGTTCAAGCAATTCTTCTGCCTCAGCCTCCCTTGGTAGTAGGTTTACCAGCTGGGTAGCCACCATGCCTGGCTAATTTTTGTATCTTTGGTAGAGACGGGGTGTCACCATGTGGACAGGCTGGTCTCGAACTCCTGATCTCGTGGGTCCACCTGCCTTGGCCTCCCAAAGTGCTGGGATTACAGGTGAGAGCCACTGCACCCAGCAACTTTTTTTTTTTTTTTTTTTGAGATGGGAGTTTTGCCCTTGTTGCCCAGGCTGGAGTTGCAATTGGCACCATCTCAGGCTCACTGCAACCTCTGCCTCTTCAGGTCAAGGTATCTCCTGCCTCAAGCCTCCCAAGTAGCTGGGATTACAGGCATGCACACCACGCCTGGCTAGTGTTGTATTTTTAGTAGAGACAGGGTTTCTCCATGTTGGTCAGGCTGGTCTCAAATCTCCTGACCTCAGTGATCCACCGCCCTTGGCCTCCCCATTGCTGGGATACAGGCATGAGCCACTGCCCCTGACTGGACTATATCTTTCTTTTTTTTTTTTTTTTTCTTGAGACAGAGTCTCACTCTGTCACCCAGCCAGGGGTGCTGTGGCCAGATCTCAGCTCACTGCAAGGCCTCGCCTCCTGGTTTCGCCATTCTCCTGCTCAGCCTCCAAGTAGCGCGGGACTACAGGCGCCCGCCACCTCGCCCAGCTAGTTTTTTGGTATTTTTTAAGACGAGGTGTTCACCGCGTGTTAGCCAGGATGGTCTCGATCTCCTGACCTCGTGATCCGCCCGTCTCGGCCTCCCAAAGTGCTGGGATTACAGGCTTGAGCCACCGCGCCCTCTTAACTTATTAGACCTTGTGCAAATTTTTTTTTTTTCAGCAGAAGAATAGTGCTGCATTTCAAATAGATTCCTAAAGAATAATTTAAAATGCGTTTTAGTTACAAAACATGAATTGTATCTGAAGGTGTCCTGGCTGTAATGTCTATCCTTGGGATGATGGACAGTGTGGATCCCTTACTCTGGTGGCCTTTGTCTGTCTTCCTCCTTCACCACTTCCCATGTCCCTGTTTGGGCCAATGATGGCCAAAGATGGCGAGCTTCAGCCACAGCAAGGAGGTTCCTACTAGGGTGCAGATGGCTGCTCCCCCGCAGGCATCTCTGGACTGCATGAGCCTCCTGTTTTCCTTGATCTGATGCTTAAGAGGGTGAAGACAGTAAAGTGTCCAAGTGATGAGTCGTGATAAACAGTTACTTCATTTAGAATGCTAAGTCACGAATCACCATTCCGCAGGGCCTTGCTGTGAAGGCAAAGGGTGGGCAGAAGGGAGTTTCTGTTCTGTAGTCATGTTTGTCTGCCTTCCCTGCAGGCCAACCCCAGTGCTGATCTCTACTACACTTCCTTCAGTGACCCCCTCTACCTGACCATGTTCAAGATGCTGCGCGACACTCTATACTACATGAAGGGTGAGGACAGTTTGCCCATGTGTTTGTGAGTACAGCAAGACTGGCTCCCAGGCCACTGTCGCATGCTAGTGGTTGCAGACTGGTACTCAGTTTCTGCTGGGGCCACTTAAAAACACATATGAGCAATGTGGTTATGTTACTGGAATTTTGGGAAAAAAGCAAATTTAAAAAATCTATCCATGATCCTGCAACCCTGGTACCATCAGTGATGGCTCCTTTGCTGAGTTTATTTCCTAAGGTGTTTTTCTAAAATGTGCATGTTATATTGTCCTAAGCACACTAAGCACAGGTACAGTTTTACATACCATTTAGATATTTTAGAAAATAAAAAAAGAGTCCGGGCATGGTGGCTTACGCCTGTAATCCCAACACTTTGGGAGGCTAAGATGGGCGGATCACTTGAGGTCAGGAGTTCGAAACCAGCCTTGCCAAACAGGGTGAAACCCTGTCTCTATTAAAAATAACAAAAAAAGTTAGCCAGGCACGGTGGCATGCACCTGTAATCCCAGCTACACAGGAGGCTGAGGCAGGAGGATTGCTTGAACTCGGGAGGTGGAGGTTGCAGTGAGCCCAGATCGTGCCACTGCACTCTAGCCTGTGTGACAGAGTGAGACTCCATCTCAAAAAAATTTAAAAAAAGAAAATGAAGCACTTGTAATACATACAATCTCTTAACATAGAGATACTAGCTTTTTTTTTTTTTTTTAAATAGACAGTGTCTTGCTCTGTCGCCCAGGCTAGAGTGCATTAATAGCATGATCTGGCGTCACTGTAACTTCTGCCTCCCGGGCTCAAGCTATTCTCTCGTGCCTTAGCCTCCTAAGTAGCTGGGATTACAGGTGTGTGCCACCACGTCTGCCTAATTTTCGTGTTTTTAGTAGAGATGGGGTTTCACCAGGTTGGCCAGGCTGGTCTTGAACTCCTGGCCTCAAATGATCCATGCCCCCTTGGTCTCCCAAAGTGCTGGGATTACAGGTGTTAGCCACCGCACCCAACCGGAGACAATATCTTAATAGCTAACATGCACACACAACAATTTAGCATTTTCTTCTAGTCCCTCTTTCATGAGATTTTCTTTCCCAGAAGTAAGGAAACAATCTTTTATGCATTTTACAAAATGTTTTTCCTATGCTCTCACCTCACACTGTTGAGTGTTCTTTGTAAGCATAAGTTTTGATGAGCACATAATATTTTATCAGGAAGGTATACCAAAATTTAGTAACCACTTTCCTAATCTGATTCTGAATATTCCTTGGAAGCTGAGTCATCTGGGGCCACAGCAAGGGTTGAGACTCCCTAAGAAGGGGCATCAGGGATTGCCCCTGCCCTCCCCACCACCCATGCTGTGTGTTACTGGCTGCCTTGGCTGGACCGATTTGTGTGCATCATCGTGGTTCTCCTGAATTTTCCACGCCCTGGGGATGAGAGTTTGAAAAGTCTCTCAAACTCAGGGTGAGTGCTCTGAAGATCCAGATAATTCTCTTCTCAAGGCTACAACCAGTTTTTACCCTTATCTGACAACCCTTTTCTTTTTTTTTTTCTTTTTTTTTGAGATAAAGTCTCGCTGTGTCGCCCAGGCCGGCATGCAGTGGCACGATCTCGGCTCACTGCAAGCTCCGCCTCCCGGGTTCAGGCCATTCTCCTGCCTCAGCCTCCCGAGTAGCTGGGACTCCAGGCACCCACCACCACGCCTGGCTAATTTTTTGCATTTTTAGTAGAGACAGGGTTTCACCATGTTAGCCAGGATGGTCTCGATCTCCTGACTTCGTGATCTGTCTGCCTCGGCCTCTCAAAGTGCTGGGATTACAGGTGTGAGCCACCGCACCCAGCCCTGACAACCTTTTTCTTAAAAGAAAAAAAAAAAAAATCACAGAAGTATCTCATATTGTCAGTGGAAGTAGTTCCAGTGACGATACTTCCCAATTTATATGTTTTGTGTATTCAGGTTTTAGTACATTGACTGCTTAAAGCATGGCTGTAACATCCCTGGGAAATTATCATTTCCTCTGATTGCCAGGTTGTGTGCATGTGGAGGACAGCTGTGCACTTCCTATCCAACTTCTTTCCAGTGGGCATTCTTGGACCCACAGTGGCCAGTAGCAAATGCTACTTTTCTGGGGTTTTGGTTAAAAGGCGAAGACTGTAGCTGCTGCCAGCATTGCCTGTGTTCTACTGTAGTTTTGTTCCTAGCTGTGATGCCACACTCTTTCCTGCAGACCTCTCGACCTCTTTTGTGAAGGAGATCCATGATTTTGTGCTGGAGCAGTTCAACACGAGCCAGGGGGAACTCCAGAAGATTCTACATGACGCAGACCGGATCCACAATGAGCTGAGCCCCCTCAAATTGCGCTGCCAGGCTAATGCCGCCTGCGTGGACCTCATGGTGTGGGCCGTGAAGGACGAGCAGGGTGAGACAGACTGCCTTGCTTCTCATGTGAGCCCCAGGCATGCCCCAGAGGCTTTCTTCCCACAGGTTTCCCCAAACGACTTCTAGGACGCTTGGCTCTGTTACTAGCAGGGGCAGTTGCAGTAGACCTCCAGGGCACGTGCAGAGTGAAGCATCAGCCCCTGCTGTGCTCTACATCTGGTGTCCTGTCCTGCACGGAGGGCACTGGACCTGGGAGGATGGGGATGCCTGTGGCCTCAGGGCCCGTGTGTGCTGTCTGCTGCATCTCGCTGGTTCTTTAGGTTTTTCTGTGGTGACATGGAAGCTCAGTGCCTTCAGGTGAAGTGTTTTTCTAGGGGAGGAGTAAAATGGGAAGTTTTCCTGTGGAATGGACACTGCGGGGACGGGGGGTCTTAGGGCCAGCGGAGGAGAGAGAGAGTCACACACTGTGTGACCTCTCAGTATGAATAAGCCCCGCCTGAAGTATATCGCTGGGATTTTATTAAATTCTGTGCTTACTTGGTGGATAAGTGTGTTAGAAAGACTGGCCTGTGCTGATCACTCATCTCCTCTTCTGGTTTTGAATTAAGGTGCGGAAAACCTTTGCATCAAGCTATCTGAGAAGCTGCAGTCCAAGACGTCCAGCAAAGTCATCATTGCTCACTTGCCCCTGCTGATCTGCTGTCTGCAGGTCAGTCTCACTGAACCCAGAGAGGCTCAAATCCCATCTGTAGGGCTTTCCTCTGGTCATGCTGTTGCTGTTCAGGCTATGTTGGGCACACCAGCAGTGGTGACCATGCGGGTTCTGTCTTTAGAAGCTTTAACCAGTGCCTGCTGTGCACAGTTCATCACTGAGTGTGGGCTGCCCCCTACAGGATGCCAGGGCTTTCTGCAAGTGGCATCTGGGTGCAGCTGGCTTCAGTTCTCATTTGTTGTGAGGCTGTGGGGCCATTCCCAAGGTCTGTGGGGGAAGGACTGTTGACATGTGCCATGGGGTCACGCAAGGGGACATCTTCTGACACCCACAGTGCTAGCTCTGCTCTGCCAAGACTCTTACCTTGTCACAATCCCATTAACTCCACACCTGCCATTGTTTAAAAGTTCTGTTTTGCCCCTTTCTTCTTTAGTTTGCTTCCTAAAGAGATGAGCACACTTTAACAATCTATATCCTGTGGCCAGGTGTGGTGGCTCACGCCTGTAATCTCAATACTTTGGGAGGCAGAGGTGGGAGGGCCGCTTGAGCCCAAGACCAGCCTGGGCAACATAGTGAGACCCCATCTCTACAAAAAATTTAAAAAATTAGAATGTTAGGGATGATGGTGTGTGCCTACATTCCCAACTACTCAGGAGGCTGAGGTGGGAGCATTGCTTAAGCCCAGTAAGTCAAGGCTGCAGTGAGCTGTGATCGTGCCACTGCACTCCAGCCTAGGTGACAGAGCAAGACCCCGTCTCAAAATCAAAACAAAAAAAACAGTAGTTGATGTCCTTATAGGTGGAGGAGAACCAGCACCGTCCCTTCCCTGTCTTTTTATGTCCTGGGCAGGTGGCCTATGGGAGCTCTGACCATGGAAATTTTGGGTCAGACTTGGGTACTGAAGGGTTGAGCATCTCCCTGCTCAGGGCCTACTCAGATGGTCCCACACCAGAGGCCATGTGACAGGTTGATGGTGTGTTGCAGGGTTTGGGCCGCCTGTGCGAGAGGTTCCCGGTGGTGGTACACTCTGTGACACCGTCCTTGCGAGACTTCCTGGTCATCCCGTCCCCAGTTCTGGTGAAGCTCTACAAGTACCACAGTCAGTACCACACAGGTAATAACAGACCGTGTGCCTTTCAGGCCCTGAGAAAGGGACTGTGTGAGCCCCACACAGGTTTCGTGACTGTACCTGGGCACATTCCTTCGCCACACCTTTCCTTCTGTCTTTCCCTCTGCGTCCCCTTGAAGCTCCAGGCCTTTCCTCCCCGGTCTTCTCTCATCCTATATTCATGTTACCACCAAAGGCCCCTTCAAATCCTGTTTTCTTTTTGACATCTCTCACTGTGGAAGTCTGAAATGCAAATCCTATGTGCCCCAAATACTTAGCCAGGGGCCCAGTCCCTACTACCTCTACGAGAATGGATTATGATGTTTCCACGTATGATGAAACAATAATTAACATTAATTAATTAATTAAACACCTACTGTGTGCTAGTGGCTCTGATGTAGTATCACCCTGTTACCCACAGTCTCATGAAGGTGGCCGTTTTTTTTTTTTTTCTGAGACAAAGTCTTGCTCAGTCGCCCAGGCTGGAGTGCAGTGGTGTGATCTCGGCTCACTGCAAGCTCTGCCTCCCGGGTTCATGCCGTTCTCCTGCCTCAGCCTCCCCAGTAGCTGGGACTACAGGCGCCTGCCACCATGTCCAGCTAATTTTTTTTGTATTTTTAGTAGAGACTGGGTTTCACCATGTTAGCCAGGATGGTCTCGATCTCCTAACCTCGTGATCCACCCGCCTTGGCTTCCCAAAGTGCTGGGATTACAGGCGTGAGCCACTACCCAGACCGTTTATACATTTTTTCTTTTTTTTAACAGAGTCTCGCACTGTTGCCTGGGGTGGGACTGCAATGGTGCAATCTCAGCTCTCTGCAACCTCTGCCTCAGCAATTCTCCTGTCTCAGCTGTTTTTATCTTCTCCTTCAGATGAAGACTTAAACTCAGAGCATTTTAAAGTTTTAACCAGGCGTGATGGTGCTCATCTGTAGTCCTAGCTACTCAGGAGGCTGAAGCTGTAGGATGGCTTGGGCCCAGGAGGTTGAGGATGCAGTGAGCTGTGATAGCGCCACTGCACTCCAGCCTGGGTGACAGAGCAAGACCCTATCTCAAAAACAAACAAATAAAAAACAAGACTTCCCTGGACCTCATAGTGGGGAGGGTTCTCTCAGGCTGTAAGGTCCCTGCTCTCCCAAGCGTCCCCAACCCTTCCAGGCTTTGTCCATATTAGTGAGATAACTCCAAGCCCTGGGCCATGCCTCACTTGCCCTCAGGGCTGCCTTTGGTGGTTGGTCATCAGTACTTTTTAACAGTTTATTGAGAAATTGCTGGTTTTCTATATTTATCACTTTGTAACCTGAATATTCTTCCTTTTTGTTTAAACATATTATTTTCTGTTGGTCTTAGACTCTTCTGTTTCTGATATATTTGGGTCAGATGTTTTTAGAGTGATCATTTTGCTTTTATAAATGATCAGCATATCATCTTGGTTTTTGAATTACAAAGAAGGTGCTGGAAAATAATAGGCTTAACCAGCTATATATTTGAATTTTTTACTTTCAGTTGCTGGCAATGATATAAAAATCAGTGTGACCAATGAGCATTCCGAGTCAACCCTGAACGTCATGTCGGGTAAGAAGAGCCAGCCCTCTATGTACGAGCAGCTCCGAGACATCGCTATTGACAACATCTGCAGGTGGGAAGCCGGGCAAGTGGCGAGTAGACAGCAGTGCTCCAGACAGCGGGTTATTACAAAATAAGAGACATTTATACTGGTTTTTTTTTGAGATTGAGTCTCTCCCTGTTGCCCAGACTAGAATGCAGTGGCGCAATCTCAGCTCACTGCTACCTCTGCCTCCTGGGTTCAAGCGATTTTCCTGTCTCAGCCTCCCCTGAGTAGCTGGGATTACAGGCATCCACCACCACGCACAGCTAATTTTTGTATTTTTAGTAGAGATGGGATTTCACCATGTTGGCCAGGCTGGTCTCGAACTCCTAACCTCAGGTAATCCACCTGCCTTGGTCTCCCAAAGTGCTGGGATTACAGGTGTGAACCACCACACCCAGACCATTTACACATTTTTTTTTTTTTTTGATACAGAGTCTCGCACTGTTCCCTGGGGTGGGAATGCAATGGCGTGATCTTGGCTCACTGCAACCTCTGCCTCAGCAATTCTCCTGCCTCAGCCTCCCAAGTAGCTAGGATTACTCGGGAGGCTGAGGCAGGAGAATGGCTTGAACCAGGGAGGCGGAGCTTGCAGTGAGCTGAGATTGTGCCACTGCACTCCAGCCTGGGTGACAGAGCGAGACTCTGTCTCAAAAAAAACAAAAAAAAAACGGAGTCTTGCTTTGTCACCCACGCTGGAGTACAGTGACCTGGTCTCGGCTCACTGCAAGCTCCACCTCCCGAGTTCACACCATTCTCCTGCCTCAGCCTCCCGAGTAGCTGGGACTACAGGTGCCCGCCACCACGCCTGGCTAATTTTTTTGTATTTTTTTGTGTGTTTTTTTTGTTTTTTTTGTTTTTTTTTTTTTGTAGAGATGGGGTTTCACCATGTTAGCCAGGATGGTCTCAATCTCTTGACCTCGTGATCTGCCCACCTCTGCCTCCCAAAGTGCTGGGATTACAGGTGTGAGCCACCACACTTGGCTAAAAAATTCTTACTAGAGAAAAATTGTAATGTATAGAAAAGTAAAAAGACAAAGATTACCCATTAGCTCACCATCCAGAGTAACGTAGCATCATATTTTCTTTACCTTGTTTTCTGTGGAATATTTAATATAAATGTGAGGTTTTTAAATATGATCAGGTACCCCTTGCTGCCCAGACTCCTGCACTGTGGACTCTTGTTCTTCCAACTTGGGAGCCAAATACAGTCTGATTCCATGCAAATGCCTCTTTGCCTGGATTCTGGTTCCTCGCCCTTGGAAGCTAAATCAGGATGGCAGCTTGTCTGTCAGACTCAAACTGTTCTCTAAACTCTGGCCCAGGAGCCAAACAGACGTGGAGAGCTAGGACATCTTACAAGATTTTATGTTTTTAGGGGCTTTAAATTTTTCTCCTTTTCCCTATAACATAAATGTTTCTCCTTACCATGAAAACCTTGGTATATAATTGTGATGTTTCCTCTGCTATCTTGGGACCATTTGTCTTTTCAATCAGTCTCTGTGACCTTAAGGAACAGTACAAGGGATTGAAATTGGAATTAGAGTGAGCATGATATTCCAAAGGAAACTGTTCTGGGCAAAATAATGAAATTATTGTTTCTGACTGAGATATTTATCAAGTGGGCAAAATCTGGAGTAATTCTTTGAATTCATTCTGTGTTATGACCTCCAATTTTGGGGGAAGAAAATTTGAGCAGTTCTTTAAACTTTGTAGGCCTAAGGAAGGAAAAATTTAAAAACAAAAAACCTATCTTGTTTTGATGCCTCAATGCCACATGGGTTTTCTTGCTCCTCAGGTGCCTGAAGGCTGGATTGACGGTGGACCCAGTGATCGTGGAGGCATTCTTGGCCAGCCTGTCCAACCGGCTCTACATCTCTCAGGAGAGTGACAAGTACGCCCCCATTCCTGTCTCTCAGAGACAACCCATTGTTCTCAGCAGGCTTGTGTGGGGCACCTGGCATTGTGCGTATGGATGCGTCTGTCCTTATCTCCTTGCCTCAGAGCATAGGCATGCATCAGGGTTGTTACAAGATTTAAGGTGAAGTCCACCTTGGAACGTACTTCCTGGACCACTGTGTGGAAGTCGAGAAAGATCTTTGTCATCCAGCCTAGTACCTGGGGCTTGCCTTTCTGCCGGTGGTTAAAATCCTGGACTGTCAGTTTCAGATGAATACTTCATCAAGACTGTTAGGAAATTAAGGTCTAGATTGTAGTCTCTGGGTACTGTTTCACTACTGCATGCTGGAGGACTGTTGCTAGGGCGCTTCTGTTCTTCCTTCTGTAGGGACGCTCACTTGATTCCCGACCACACAATCCGAGCCTTGGGACACATCGCGGTGGCCTTGAGGGACACCCCAAAGGTCATGGAGCCCATTCTGCAGATCCTGCAGCAGAAATTCTGCCAACCACCCTCCCCTCTCGATGTGCTGATTATTGACCAGCTGGGCTGCCTGGTTATCACCGGAAATGTAAGGGAGGCCAGAGCCGGGACACCACTAACCCTGTTACATTACAAGCTACATTAAACTCTTGACTGTAAGAGATGTGCAAATACAGATTAAATATACCTTGCAGATGAGCTAAATGCTGACAAGTGTTTTAATACTGAGTAGTAAGAATAGTATAAAGTGCTATGAGTGCTGGGGAAAAAGAGGTTTAATTTCTTCTCGGTGTATTATAACAGAATATTTGAATCTAAGCCATGTTCCTTTTAGCTTTTAATTTGAGGTTTGATTAAAGCTTTAGAAATGGATGATCTTTGAGCTGTTGTGCCCCATGATTCCAGAGCTTTCCCTCTGGGTGATGACAGGAGGGGCCTCATGAGGGCATCCTGCATGGTGACAGTGCCCCTCGCTCTCTCCTAGCAATACATCTATCAGGAAGTGTGGAACCTCTTCCAGCAGATCAGTGTGAAGGCCAGCTCCGTTGTATACTCAGCCACCAAAGATTACAAGGACCACGGCTACAGGTAACTGGACTTCATTGTCACTTTTTTATCATGACAGTATTTAATTTACTTTGAAAATGGGAGGTTTGTGAATTTGTCTCTTAAATAAACTCTTCTTACAAGAACACTATATGCTACAGATCAATGCACACATAAGGGGGGAAATGAAAACCCGATGTGCCCCCCGCAGAGGTGACCATCAAGCATCTCAGCACACGAGATCTCAGCTCCTGCCTCTCCTTCTGATCGGGCCCATGCTGCACTTGCAGCTAACCTGCTTTTTTATGGGGCAGCACATCAGCCACACCATGAATGATCCTGCACAGGTTGCCTTTAGAGGTTGCAGAGCGTCCCATCCTGTAGCAGAACCGAGATTTAACCAGCCAGTCCCTAGTTTGGATTTTAGGTTGTCTTCCAGTTTTCCCACTAATAAATGCAGCATTGACAGCCTAACAGCTACATATCTCTGAGCATCTTTGATGCTTTCTGTGGGTTAGATTCAGAGAAGTAGGATTTTGGGTCCAAGGAAGTAGGTGTTAAATGTCTTTGAACATTTGATACTTGTATAAAGTCTGACCAGTTTTCCCTGACAGACGGAGAGATGCTTCTTGGCTATTCCTTACCCTCCTCTAGGAATGCCTTAAGGACAGGGACATGTTCATCCATGTTGGGAAGAGAGGGAAGGGGAGAGGTGAAGTCAGATGAGGACAGGAGGCTGGGGAGGGAAGAAGAGAGCCCTTTTGCAGGCATTACTCTTCTTGACCTCCAGGCTCCTCCCTTCTGACTGTGAAGTCCAGTCTCTCCATGTCAGTTTAGTGGGTGGGAGTGCAGCTGTGGAGCCATGCCATGTGGCTGTATGACTTCAGAAAATGCTGAACCTCTCTGTGCCTCAGTTTCCTCATCTGCCAAATCAGAACCTGCCTGCAGTTGGGAATGAGACTGCATACGTTAAAGTTCTCAATCAATAGAGCTGTCTCTCACATCGATACTACTTCATTGCCTTCTTGCTGCCACCGTCATGAGCCCAGGCTGCTAGAACAGCCTGAAGACTGGATTGGGGATGGGGTCAGGCTCTCCTTTCCTTCTTCCTCTGTCCCATTCTTTGCCGTGGAACCTGCACACAGGCTAACACGTTGCTTCCTTGTGCCTGTGTGACTGCTGGGCCCTTTCTCCAGGGGCCTCCTCAGCTGCCTCCCCGGTTGCCTTTGCCCCCACCCCTCCTAGATGTTCTGCCACGCCTTACCGTGAGTGTGTAGCATCTGCCAGTCTTCATCCTTCCATTTCTTCAGTTCTGGCTTAGCTTGCCTCTCTTTCCATAAAGCCTTTTCTCATATTGCCACCAAAATTGATTTGTCCTCTTCCTCACCAGCAGAAGCATTTACTGCCCTTTGTTTGCCGTTGACCTACCAGGTGTTACCTAACTGCAGTGCCTTTTGCTGTGGCTGCTGTTGCTCTGGGATTTCTTAGTGGGGCAGACGACATGCTCAGTGCTTCGCATGGTGTTTCACTCTTCCCATGATCCTACGAAGAGGAATTATTATCCTTGTTTTACTTAGGAAGAAATTGAGGCCCAAAGACTTAAGAGACTTACCCAAGGTCGTGCCGCTTGGACGTGACAGAGTCTGGCGGTCTCCAGGGCCACAGAAGCCTGGTTGGCTTCAATGGTTCAGGTTTTTGGCCAAAGGGGCAATGTCAGCTTCACATCCGGCGTTTACATGGGGCCAGCCAGGATCCTGAGGCAGGACCCTGGAACACTTCCTGAGCATTCGATGTGAAAAAATGCTGACATCAGCTCCAAGGTGGAGGCAGCGTTAGGGAGAAGCTGGTCATGAAGTGAAAGTTCTGTGGGTGGTAAATGATGCATTAAGGCTCTTGGTGATTTGTGGGGGGAAAGCAAGATCCAACCTGGAATGCCTGGGCATGGGCCCTTTCGTTTTCAGCCCTGAGGGAAGTGTCCTGAGACCCTCACAGGTCCCCAGTGTTGCAGATGCCTGGAACTTAGTCTCCTGGAGGTCCTTACTACATCTCAGGAGAAAGGGTTACAGTCATTTGTGCAGCAGTTGAGTTTCTTTTACGGGCTGTTTTTCACAAAGATGACGTGTCCTTCTCCACTTGAGATTCCTTTGGTTTACAGACACTGAGAGGAGTGTGCTAAGGCAGGCTGGGCCTGGCCTGCTCAGCTCTCCTCACCCCTGCAGTGCTGTCCCTTGGGGATGGTTGAGGGCATGGCAGTGGCTGTTATTTTACTCTTTCTTTTTCAGGCATTGCTCCCTGGCAGTGATTAATGCCCTGGCCAACATTGCGGCCAACATCCAAGACGAGCACCTGGTGGATGAGCTGCTCATGAACCTGCTGGAATTGTTTGTGCAGCTGGGGCTGGAGGGGAAGCGAGCCAGCGAGAGGGCAAGCGAGAAGGGCCCTGCCCTGAAGGTAGGAAGGAGGATGGCTGTGCCTTCCCCATCAGTGTCCCATCCCTGCTGGCCAAGGCTTAGTCTCCAGGCACCATCTTGGTTGGAATATGGCACTTTCTTTGTTGAGTGATTTAAATGTGCCTGGTAGAATGCAAGTAAGAAGGGGTGGGGTTCTTTCTCAAGGATGCTGGCAGGGATGAGGGAGAGGGCAGCTTTCTCACTGAGTTATATCCAGCTTATGGTAGCTGCCTTCCCCATCCCAGACATGACAACAGTCTAGCCTCAGCTCCCCATGGGCCCCTCTCTCTCTCCTTGCCTTCTTCATGAAGCCCGGGGTGGTAGCTGGGCCTAGGAGGACTTTAAGGGCCCATCATCAGAACACAACGGCAACATGAGAAGGGCCAGAGTTCACCTAATCTCAGGCCACCCAAGGAAGACAGGTCCACTGAGACAAACAAATGTCCTGTCTTGAATGCCCAAATACATTTGTGGTGGGGCCGAGGCAGGTGAGGCCTCTTCTTCCGTAACTCCCCAGTAGCATGTCACGTGGGCACCAGTCGCTCTACCATGTTAGGAATAATGCTTAAAATGTTAAGGAAATTGAATATTTGAACAAAAGATATTTAGTAAAGCAATGTTATTTTTGTGTAGAGGGTGTCTTTTTGGCTAGTTGTTAGGAGAGCATATTTGAATAAAGAGCATGAGAATTTTTATTTTTGACGCAAGTTTTGTTTTTGTATTTTTTTATTGACTGGGGTTGGGTTGTATAGTTTAAACTAATTTTGGTTGGCTAAACATTTGATTTTTTTAAATAGAGTGGGTATGTAAAAAAAAGTGGAGAGAAAAGGGAGGGGGGTGTTTGTAATGAGCTAGAAAGCTGGTTTTTTTTTTTTATAAGGAAAGGAATGTGAGTTGGTATTGATAACGCTTGGTACTGAGGCATATTTAGGCATTTAATAAAGGCAAAAAGAAAAAGAAGAAAAAGTATGGGGTACTATAAATTAAAAAATAAAAGATTGATCAGATTATTTAAAGAAAAACCCCATTATATCCCACAACCATATCTCTGTTTCCACCCTGTTTTGTCATTTCCTCTCCCTTCCCTTCCTTCCTTCCCCTTCCCCTAGACAGCTATTGTTTACCTACTCTCTGCCAGCTACTGTCCTAGGTCAGAGGTCAGCCCACTTTTTCTGTAAAGGGCCAGAGTATAAATATTTTACGCTTTGCAGGCCATACAGCCTCTGTTGTAACTGCTCAACTCAACTCTTCTGTGGTTACCTGTTTGTGAACGAACAGGTGTGACTGTGCTCCTATAAAATTGTATTTGCAAGAACAGGCGTTGGGTTGGATTTGGTCCATGGGCCATAGTTTACCAGCCCTTGCTCTAGATGAGGGTGTTATAGAAGTGAACGAGACAGACAGGGTCCTCTCTGACTGTGGGGCTTAGTGGGAGAGTGAAACAGGGCAGTGTAGTGAGGGGCACTTTAGATTGGGCTGGTTGAGAAGGCCTCTCTGAAGAGTGACATCTGAGATGACAGCTGCATGGAGGAGTCCCCCTGTGAAAGTCGCAGTCAAGAGGGAGTGGCTGGTGCAAGCAGGGATCCTAAGACTCTTGTCCCTAATTCGGCCTTGCTATGCCGGGCCCTCCGACAGTGATGTGGCTGAATAACTTCCCAAGTCTCCCAGCGGGGTACACAGCTCGGACCACCTCAGTGCACAGGAAAGAAACGTGTCCCGCATGTCTAGCGGGACCTTAGGCATCAGGATAAGAGGAGGGTGCTGATGATACAAGGTGGTGCTGCGCACCTGAGAAAGCAGAGGCTGTAACCTGTCTGAGGGGTGTTTCAGGAGCCTGCTCTCCCCTGGAAATTGGACCTCAGTGCCTCACCTTGTGGAGGACAAGAAGCTGTAATTATAAATTAAACTAAGATCTGTGGGTTATTCTCCATCATCACGCAGCCCTTAGGCTATCAGTTTTCCAGAGGGGACCAGGCAAGACCACCCTTGTGGCCCCCAGCCCAGGGAAACCAGCTTGGCATTCTTTGTAAATTTTCAAAAAAATTTTTGTGGGTACATAGTAGGTGTATATATTTACAGCTTGGCATTCTGTCCCCACCACTGCAGTGCTGTGTGGCTTTGGCAAGCTACTGAGACCTCCCATGAATCTCCCCAGAAGTTAGTGCATGTGAAGCACTCAGCGCATGTGAAGCACTCAGCACGTGTCTGGCTGCAGTGGATGCTCAGGGTCTTCAGCTGCTGTCGTTATTATAGGTTAAGAGCATAAATCACGTCGGCTTAGGCCAGTGCTTCCGGAATTTTTACTAATCACTGTGAACTGAAGATTAGCTACATTTGTGTGTCTAGCCAGGGAGTCTTTTATTGTTAAGTAACCCCCCAAAATTTCCCTAGCTTGCAAAGAATATATGTTTATTTTGGAAAAGATACAGAAACCTATAAATAGTAAAGTAAAAAGCACTTATTCCTTGACTGAGATGACATAATCATTACTAACACTTTGACAGATTTCTTCCTAGCTTTTTTATGCATATGTATTTATTACATAATTGGGATTGAATCATAGCACAGTTTTAAATCTTGCCTTTTTTTTCATTTGACATGTGCTGTGGGCTCTTTCCATGGTGACTAAATGCTTTTCAGAAAGTTGTATTTTATTTTATTTATTTATTTTTTTTTTTTTGAGACGGAGTCTCGCGCTGTGTCACCCAGACTGGAGTGCAGTGGCGCGATCTCGGCTCACTGCAAGCTCCGCCTCCCAGGTTCACGCCATTCTCCTGCCTCAGCCTCCGAGTAGCTGGGACCACAGGCGCCGCCACCACACCCGGCTAGTTTTTTTTTGTATTTTTAGTAGAGACGGGGTTTCACCGTGTTAGCCAGGATGGTCGCGATCTCCTGACCTCGTGATCCACCCGCCTCGGCCTCCCAAAGTGCTGGGATTACAGGCTTGAGCCACCGCGCCCGGCAGAAAGTTGTATTTTAAATGGCTGTGTCATATCTAATTATGCAGAAGTGCCATGATTTATGTAATCATTTATGTAACCATGGTTTATTTTTCACATTTGTTTTCATTTTTTGCTGTTAAAATTATGCTGGATGAGCATCTCTATGCCTCTCTCTGCATACCTCTCATCATTTCTCTTAGATTAAGACATTCCAGGTTTACATAACACTATGTTGTATCTTGTGTGGTTTTTTTTTTAAATAAAAGAAACACATACTCTTTAATGACAACAATTCTGTTCTTTTCTAGGCTTCTAGCAGCGCAGGGAACTTGGGAGTACTCATTCCTGTAATAGCTGTGGTGAGTATTCATTAATTGAATGATGAAACTGCAGATACTGTGTGCATGCTTTGAGTCTTGCCTGGTGACGCATAGTAAATTCCTTAGAAAGGTGCAGTGTTGAGGCCCCTGTGCCTCTAGATGTGACTGCTTCAGCCATCACCAGCTCTTCCATGACAGCCCTGTAGGTGTGTCCACCGTGAGACACTCTTCACTCCCTTTCTCCATGCCCTGCCCGAACCCCCTCAACCAATTGACAAGGTCATTTGCTTTGGTTCCCTTCTGTGTGGCTCCTAGGTCCTAAATTTGACTCCACTTTCATCCTGTGTCTCATGCCCTCGTGACTGATGGTGGGCCAGCTCCCTGCTTCCATCCCTTCCTTGGATCCTTCCTGCAAGTGCAGGCCTGGAAGCCTCTTGTTGGTGCTCAGGCCTCGGAGCTGTGGCCCCAGTCTCCTCCAGGGGGCGTTGTTGGCATGGCGGGCACAGTCCCTTCCTCCTGTGCGGCACCATCATGTTGGAGAGCCTGTTTCCGTCCTGTCCTGTCCCAGCCTAGGTCTGCTTCTTCCCAGATGACTTGTAGAAGTTGTTTTTCCCTTTCTTCGTCACTGCTAGCTGCAAGTCCTAAGCCCAACACCTATGTTCCAGTATTTATTTTCATTCCATATTCTCTCCCTTCCATTTAATCGACCTTCTAGGCCATCCCTTGTGTCTGCCTTACAGTGCCTTCCCCCCTCCTCACCCCCTAGTAGTTCAAGTCTTGAGCACTTACATGTGTCCCCTTCAACTTGTACACCAGAGGGTTGGGCCTGGTGGCAGAACTGCTAGGGCAGCCTAGGGACGTGGAGGTCAGGCAGACAGGTGGCATTGCAGGCACAGAGAGGCACTTCTCCTGGTCTCAGTGAAGTGGTTCCCCTGCTCACACCATCTGAGTGTTCATCATTATTCCCAGCCTGGGGACTTCTAGGGTATCCAGTTTTGGCTGGCCGAGGTAGATGAAAAATAGTAACTGACTGGTCTGCCATTATTTATCTTTAGTAGTAAAATGTTATATGTCGCGTGGTATTTATTTGTTTTTATTTTTTATTATATTGTATTTTATTTTTTATTTTTGAGACAGATTCTCACTGTGTCACCCAGGCTGGAATGCAGTGGTGCGACCTCGGCTAACTGCAATCTTTACCTCCTGGGTTCAAGCAATTGTCATGCCTTAGTCTCCCGAGTAGCTGGGACTACAGTCACGCCCCACCACGCATGGCTAATTTTTGTATTTTTAGTAGAGATGGGGTTTCACCGTGTTGGCCAGGCTGATCTCGAACTCCTGGCCTCTAGTGATCCACCCGCCTTGGCCTCCCAAAGTACTGGGATTACAGGTGTGAGCTGCCGCGCCTGGCCTGCCATGGTATTTTTCGTGGACGCCCCCATTGGTTGATTTTTTTTTTTTTTTTTTGAGACAGGGTCTCACTCTGGCATCTAGATTGGAGTGCAGTGGCACAATATCAGCTCACTGCAGCCTGGACCTCTGGAACTCAAGCAATCTTCCCACCTCAGCCTTCCAAGTAGCTGGGACTACGGGTGCACATCACCATTCTCAGCTACTTTTTCTATTTTTTTGTAGAGATGGGGTTTTCCATGTCACCCAGGCTGGTCTCAAACTTCTGAGCTCAAGTGATCTGCCCACTTCAGCCTCCCATAGTGCTGGGATTACAGGTGTGAACCACCATGCCTGGCCTCATTGGTTGATTTTTCAAAACAGAAATTTTCCCACTGTATAGTTAATGTTGACTAGTGTATGTTTGTGTGTTTAAAGTGCTGTTGTATGTGGGCCTTTTATCTGACCTGGAAGAAAAAGTAAGGGACATGAAGCCCAAGGCACTCCTTGGCAGCAGGCTCTGCAGGAGAGCAAGTTTTAGGCAGACAGGGAGGATGCTTGGGGCAACACTAAAATCAGTGAGTTCCAGGATCTTTGACCATCAGAGTTTGATGACCTGTATTCTTGTGAGCTTTCAAATATGTTGAGCAGTTGTCATTTAGAGTTTAATATATGCATAGTGGAAATCTCTCGGGCACTTTGCACTTTTGGGAAGCAGTGAGTGGTAAGGTTGGATGAAATTACGTGAATTTGAGGGTCACAGGGTTCCAAGTTGGACTCCTGGTCCTGCATGTGAGACTGTGTGTGAGCCTTGGCCTCTCCAGGCTGCTGGGGTGGGTGGTACAGGCAGAACTGTTGTCTGTGGTAGCTTAGCACATGCTCACTTAAATACTCCCCTGATGTGACCTTTTACATGAGTAGAATAAGTGTATTTTTAGTGAAAGTTAATGGTTATATTATGGGGGAGGAAACAAATATTTGATTTTATTGCTCAATAAAGAGCACAGAGATCATGGGTTCTTGCATTTACTTTATGGTTACCCCTTGAACCTTCTGGAATAAACTAATTTCCGGAGGTGGTTTTTTGTTGTTGTTGTTTGTGTGTTTTTGTTTTTTGTTTGTTTGTGTTTTGTGAGACACTATCTCACTCTGTCACCCAGGCTGGAGTGCAGTGGCACGATCTTGGCTCACTGCAGCCTCCATCTCCTGGGTTCAAGCGATTATCCTACCTCAGCCTTCCACGCAGCTGGAATTACAGGTGTGCGCCACTATGCACGGCTAATTTTTGTATTTTTAGTAGAAATCGGTTTTTGCCATGTTCACCAGGCTGGTCTCAAACTCCTGGTTTCCAGTGATCCACCCGCCTCAGCCTCCCAAAGGGCTGGGATTACAGGTGTGAGCCACCATGCCTGGCCTACTTATTTTACTTTTTAAAAGAAAGATATACTCTATTTTGGACCTTTGATGGCACAGTATCTCAGATTACTCTGTTGAATGGAAGTACCAGTGGATTTGGGGTAGGAAGCCTGGGTTTTGGCCCTAATGCAGCTTTTCTCAGTGACTTTGAGGGAGTTGCTAGGAAGCTGGATCGTACAATCTCTGAGGCTCCTTCCTGGCTAGGTTTGGTGATCTTTGCACTGCAACTTTGTGAATAATATTTCTTCAGAGATGTCATTGATTAAATTACTTCAGTTGTTATTTAGCTTGTTAAATGTTTTGAATGGTATCTAATGCTTAGAGACCTAGTTGTTCCACAGTCATATAATAGTGATTTAATAAGATGCACCTCCTTCTGGAAAAACATTCATGTATTTTGCTGAGAGCAAGTTTACTTGTGTCACTGGTCACTTTTGTGGCCTTGGAAGGGTTACTTATTTTCTCAGTGCCTGCAAAACCAGGTGTGTGTGGATTAACATGTTTTAGGTCACAGAGAACCTTTTTGAAAACTGTGCATTCTCCGTGGAAATCTGTATTATTCTCAAGACTTTACACGTAACTTCAGGAAGTTAAATGGAAACAATCTACCCAAGGCTCCCCAGTTAGGAAGGCCTGGCTTACGTACTCTCTTAGATTGAGAGTAACGTTATACCCTTTCCTAGTTCTTGCTAAACACCAAACAGTGATCTAAATGCTTTCCAGGCCAGGCATGGTGGCTCACACATGTAATCCCAACACTTTGGGAGGCCGAGGTGGGCAGATCACCTGAGGTCAGGAGTTCGAGACCAGCCTGTCCAACATGGTGAAACCCCATCTCTGCTAAAAATATAAAAATTAGCCAGGCGTGGTGGCACATGCCTGTAGTCCCAGCTACTCAGGAGGCTCAGGCAGGAGAATTGCTTGAACCCAGGAGGCGGAGGTTGCAGTGAGCCAGGATTGTGCCATTGCACTCCAGCCTGAGCAACAGAGCGAGACTGTCTCAAAAAAAAAAAAAAAAAAGAATAAATAAATAAATGCTTTCCAGACATTAATTTGATTAATCCTCACAGCAATCCCTCAAGGTAAGTGCTGCTGGTCTCCCCATTTTACAGATGAGGATACTGAGGCACGGAACCTGCTACTAGAGTTTCATAGCTACTAGATATCAGAGCCAGGATTCCAACCAGGCAGCCTGGCTTAGAGCCTATGCTCTGAATGAATACTCTCCTGCTTTGAGTAACAGATGGGCTAATTTCTGTAAGAGGGGATCTGAGAGATTCTGAGTGGGTGTACATGAACAACATATATTGAGACGGGGGCTTCTGGATGCTCAAGAGTGTGGAGGACTCCACACTGGCTGTAGCAGAGATGGTGCTGGGTGAGCAGAAGTGACCACTGCCTTTCTGGGTGTGGGACGGACATGGCAAAGGACTAAAAGAGTTTTTTGAGATCATTACTCTTAGAAATGAGAGGAGCCAAAAGGAAGCTGCAGCAAGATGAGAAATATAGGACAAGCACCAGAAAAGAAGAGTGGTGAAGCAGATTGGAGAATGAATTGAAGGAGTGGGCCATCCGCAGCATCAGGGCTCACCAGGAGACCGAGAGGATGGCTTGGGGCAATTCACCTAGCCCCTGCACTGTCAGCTCTCAGCAGAGTAAGGAGGCAGAGCCTGGTGTGGGAAGTCAGGAAGGGAGCAGGGGAAAACAGGGCTCCCCCTGCCTAGGTGTGGATTCAGGCCTCAGGCAGATGCCTTCCCTTCTGTGAGCTGAAATTGCTGCTTCTGCTGTGAAAAGGAGGGGTAACAGTGCCAGCCCCCTAGGGATTGAGGGTAAGGAGACTCTACGAGATAACCCACAGGCACGCCTACACAGGGCAGTGATGTTCTTCCATCCCTACTCCCTCTTGCGGCTCTTCTTACTGGTGTTGGTCTCATGGGATCAGAAGCCTGTAACAGGACTCCTTGTGTGGTCCCTGGAGTCCAGCCAACCTGCACTTGAACCCAGCCCCACTGCTTCGGCATCTTGGACAAGTTTCAGAACTCTTCCAACCCTTGTCTTCCTCTTCTGCCAGGCTGTGGGGGTTACTGTTAGACACCTGCACATGCAGCACCTGTGACCGTCAGTCATCCCCTCACTGAAAGAGCACTGGCACTCTTGCATGCTGAGCAGCCTCTGTGGATTTCACTTGTCTTACCCAGGGATTGAAGAATCCAGAAACATATTCCTCAGGTGAC